TAGAATGCAGCATATTAATTCTAATAAAATTCTTTATAATTTATTTATTTTTATTATAATTTATCATAGATAACATATTAACAAATTTTGGCTGTGATTTTGTTCCTTTTCCCTGTTTTAGAAAATAATTTTTCAGAGGGCACAGAAGTTGTAGGTATCGATAAATATTTAATTGTGATTATGTAAAGTTTTGGAAAGCCGATTGCACCTTCGATCAGATCAAATTTATATTATATAATTTAATAAAATAATAAATATAGATAAATTGTTGTGCAGTCTACCTCAGTCGTCTTTTCATCTTGACAATATCTTCGATATTATCGGTATATTGAAATATCGATAACATTTCAATATCATCGACATTTATCGATAGTCACGTCTCTGCTGTTGGGCTCACTCAGTACAAGTCGGTAAATTAAGTAGTAATAATTCTGATGGGTAGCTGAAATATCCTGTCTCTTTCAAAAATGGCAAGGTAACCGTTTCCCGTTCTTCTGGATCTCTTTAGAAAAATGTCGGCTCAACGAACTTTTTTTCCTTACCGGGAGAACGTTCGCTACTTCTTTTCCGAACTACATACGCGAACCCTGAAAGCTAAACCTCCTCGTAAGTACCGACTCGACCGGTTTCTTCTTTTGCTCTGGCGTACCATCAAAGGAGGGACAGTAACTCCGGCCGTGGTGACTGGTATCTGTTACAAAACGATGCTTACAAGCTTCTATACACGTATGTTCAAAGAAGGGCAACGATGAACACAAGCTGGGAATCTGACGAACTTTAAGTCTCGGAATTTCGATCGCTACCAGTGACTTTTCCCGCACCGACTTCGAGAAGACCCGAAGGAACATCTTTCTTTCCGTAAAGGATCCGAGTCACTTTTACTTTTCTACGGCTTCACGTACGATCCTGCGTTCTATTTCGGAACTTTCCCGGTAGAGGAACACAAAAAAATATTTACACGTTGCAGAACACGTCCACTCGTAAAGAAGAGGAAGAATCCGAGAGTTATTTTCAAACACTCACACTTTAGGAATCTAAAGAGCGTGGTTGGCCGTCTACGCGCGTTTCAAAATGTTGTTCCAGCCGCAAACCATTTTGCCACGGCCCCCTCCCTCTATCGAGCCCGCAAATTGACGCGCGAGAGAGCGTGCCGTGGCAGTAACCGAACGAGATTGATACCGACCGTGTACCATCGGTCGATACCCGATCGATCGTCCACGGTCGTACATCGCATCGTGACGATAGTTTCGTCGGAAAAGTGATAATTCCGTAACACATTGGTTATTCGTAACAAGAAGCACCGTAGGAACGAGATAGTAGCCAGGGAAGACAGTAGGAAACGGCATGTTGGACGAAAGGAGAAAGAGAAAGGGATGACGCAGCGGGGAATGGAAGAGAAGAAGAGGAGATGGAGGGCAAGCAGAGCAGGCAGGCGTTGGAGAACCGAAGTTTCGCTTTAGGAGCGGAGAACTTAACTGAGTTAACTTTGCTGCCGAACCAAACTTTCCGCCAACTTTAAGTAGTCGCCTCTCCTCTCCCTCGCCATCCCTACCCTTCCCCCCCCACCCTCGCCCTTTCCACACTCATGGCCGTTCGCTTGTGCACGTTGGTGAGACGAACGCGGAGGCGGAAGGTACGGAGCAGCAACAGCAGAGCCCCTCTCTTTACCCCTTTTCCCGGCCATTCCGTCGTGCCCAAGGATGAGAATGCCCGAACGCCGACACCGATACTCGTCATCATAATTGGACGAGTTTCTTCTCCCTTTCCATTCTAGTTCTTCGGACTCTCCTTTTTTCTGTTTGCAACTTAGAGCAAACTCTCGCTCTCTGTTTTCAGACGGGCATTTGTTTAAGCGCGTGTTGTTTGTTCAGGGTGTTGTTTGGCAGATCCCTCCCCCCTCCGTTCCGTGCCTCGAGAGTCTGTCGCCCTCTCTTTGATGTCTCCGATAGCGTCCTGACAACAGCGCCGCGACACCCCCGCCGATATTTATCCTGGTAATTGGCCGACTTCCTGCTTCCTTTCCTCCGGATTCTTTCGCGGCTTAGGCAAATTTCTTTTCGCTTTCCTTTCTTCGTTCGTTTTATAGGAGTTCTATTGGAGTTCGCCTGTTTTATTTTTAAACGCGCGGAGGAAAGATTTTGGTTTATAGATTTATCAGGCGTATAAAAAATGTTGGTTGTATATCAAGGTTCGCGTATATGTAATACGAGTGTAGAAAAAAGTTTATACAATGCCATGTGCGTCATTACAGCAAGCGTTATCGCTAGTGCGCTTTCCTAATTGGCTTGTTTATTTCTGGCCCATTATCAGCGAGGATTTCTAATACGACATTGTAAGCAGTGAAAATCGTATTGCTTTAAAATGTCTTAGTTTTAATAACTTAGTTTCAATGATATAAAAATCGTTAGTTGAATTATTGCACCATGATTACTGGGACACTCTATACGTAAAGTGTTCCTAAACGTTTATAACTGTGGAAAGTTTTATTGGGTTGTTACTATTAGTGAACTTATAACTTAATTTCCGAGACCTTTCTCAAGTGTAAATTCCTTTATCGCGTGATATAAGAAAAACTTACCGCGATTATTATCGCAACGAAGCCGTTTGAATTTCACGTGTCACTAACAAAAACCTAGTCACCTCTCCGCGCGGCAAGTTTTGAAACAAACTTTACTTTATCGTGGCTCGATTGTAGGAAGGGAGAGAGCTGGCAGGACGAGCCTTCCCTCCCACCAATGGTTCTCCACCAAGTAAAGTTGCTCCCAGGTTAGACAATAATTGGATAACTTCGCCCTCATAGCTCCCCATCCCACTAGCAGATTCGCCGTCCCACCCTTGCCGTGCTTACCCCCCCCCCCCCCCCCCCCCCCCCCCCCACCACCATCGCTGTATCTATAACTCGAAAAACTCTGTTGCACACCGAGATTAAGCTGAAGGGGTTGAATTCGACCACTTAGCTGAAACGTTCGTTTTAAAAGCTCGATGAATTTTTAATTTACTTGAAAATGTTTTTTCCTAAGTTTTTAAAGACCCTTCGGCGGTTTAAGAAACATTATTATATTTTTTTTTCTATATGATACAGATTGATATGTTCATGGGTGTGTATGGGTTGTATCTTTCTGAACGCACTTCCTGGACACGTTGGCTCTCCATACTACTACTACTACTACTAACCGTACGAGTATTACGTATGATATACGTTTCCAGCTGTCGAACAAGGGCTTAATCTCGCCTCCTTGCTTCTCCTCCTTTTGATGATATTAGCTTGCATTTTCGCTGAGTTGGCACAACATGTGCCCAAGTCAAAGTGCTTGGGTTTGCACTCTGCGTTAGTATCGCATCCTTGTTTCCGCTGACGCTAGCAGCGATCTCATTTTGTAGCCTTCTCGGCGGGTTATGTTTCCGATTACTTGTGTGTATTGACCGACAGATCAAACATTCCTATCTGTCCATCTTCTTCGACGTCGCTGGCCGGATAAACGAATTTTAACGTGGTATCATTTTATGTATCTGTGATACCGATTTTTCTTTGCCGATGAACCGGACAGATATCAATCTGTGTCTTAAACGTGCCGATAAAAGCATTGATCGATGAAACTAGAAGATTTTATATGAATCAGGAAACAAAGGTCATGGTTTTTTGATTAAACGAACGTTAAATGTAATTTGACAAAACAAGTGTTAAATTCATCCAAGTATCCAAGTTAATCGGAGAGATTGTCTCCCAATACAAAGTTACAGAATTTTCCCTTTCGATACGGAAGAAACTTTTTCAATTGGTTCCGATCAATGAATGTTTTATCTCGTTTTCTACAAATGATAGTAACTTGTACTTATCATCGAGAGCATCTTACCTCAAAGTACTTTCTTAAAAGTTTGATTTATTTTTGATGATCTTTGGTTAAGTATCGTGCGGTAACGGCGTCTGACGAGGGCGCCACGTGTCAGTTTCTCTACTTTCTTATGGAACTTCGCTGGTTCAGCATTTTTCCGTTCCGCCATATAAAAGCGACCGGGGTACTAAATCGACTCCGATCGAACATTTTCTCTTTTCGTACAGTCGTTTGCGCATCGATCATTCGACGTCCGGGCGAAGGTTTTTAAAATTAGAAATTCGATGGATTATGAAGGGAATTGATCGAAATTTTTAGCGCGCCAACGCACCATGATTGGTTTACAATTGCTGCCGAAAATGGGCTGAAAATGTCGACCCACTAACCAAAGGCAGCCGTTCTATTAACAGTTCCAAAAACATTTGCCCCAGCTAGTAATTACGTTCTCAATGCATGGTGTGTTCCGTGCGACTCTTTTCCGTCGTTTAGAACTGAAATGTAGAAAGTTTATAAAGATTTTTCTTTCACGTAACACGGGCATTATATTCTTCAAGTTTCTTGCGTTTTCCGAGCGCTCCTATCACTGCACCGAACACACGTAGTGCGCAGGTTAAGCCGGCGCGTTTCAAGGTAACCTAAAACGTTCAGTATCGCACACGCTGCTAAGTGTTTCGATTTCCGTAACATAAAGAAACGAAATATTTCAATATTTTATCGAGTACAGTGTATTCCGGGATTTTTCGTTTCACAATAATCCCCGTTCGCAAATCAAGTATTTTTAATCGTACGCATCACATGGATTTCTTTTCTACGAAGAAATTCATGAAGGCGTCGAAATGTATGTTTATTGACCGAAGCCAAAACTTTATACATATTGCATTTTTCTTTTATCAAATTTTATGATTAGTTAAGGTATAGGAACAGTTCGCATGATCTTCATTGTTTATAAAATGTATATTTGTCTTTTCGTTTGTTCATCATTTATTTACTAGATGCACAGAATATTAATGTATTTAATTTAGTCTTGTTTACATGATTTGTTTAATACAGATTTATTTAATGAAAATGTTTTCTTATTACTTTGGATATCGATAGATTTTTTATATCATTTATATACATATGTTTTAATTATTTGTATAATAATGGATTAATGTTTAATGTTTTCAGGAGACGGTGTTCAACAAGTCGTGATGTGTTGGAGGTTCGGCGGTCCTTGTCCAAAAACCGACCAGAAATCAGTGTTACGGAAGCAATTTGTGTGACAAAGCGTAAAAGTGGAAAGTTATATTTTAAGACATACAAAAAGGCTTCCTTATCAGTGAACTGTAGGACTTCCTTGGAAGAAAGCAGGCATTCTTAGTGACATTGAAAGTACAAGTGAAAAATATAAAAATTGGGGGGCTGTTTGACCGATGGACAAACGGAAGATGATGTCCAAACGCCCTCGAATGGAGAACCTGAGGGGTCCTATTGCAAACGGACCCATTCAGTCAAGACCGTTAGTGGCTTTGTTAGATGGCCGAGACTGCTCTATTGAAATGCCTATCCTTAAAGATATCGCAACAGTAGCCTTCTGTGATGCGCAGTCTACATCAGAAATTCATGAAAAGGTAAAATATTCGCTCTACAATTTCTCATAGTTAATTGTATTTTTAATATAACAAAAAAGAAGAACACAATTTTGAACCAATTACTAATAATTACTAAGAAATTGAACAATTTCGTCCAATAACGAAGAGTAAAAATGTACATTTATTTATAGGTACTAAATGAAGCAGTAGGGGCGTTAATGTGGCACACTATAATTTTGACAAAAGAAGATCTTGAAAAATTCAAAACATTACGAATCATTGTAAGAATTGGATCGGGAGTCGATAACATAGATGTCAAAGCAGCAGGAGAACTTGGCATCGCTGTGTGCAATGTGCCTGGCTATGGCGTTGAAGAAGTAGCTGACACTACTCTCTGCCTCATTCTAAATTTATATCGACGTACGTATTGGTTGGCGAACATGGTACGTGAAGGAAAAAAATTCACAGGACCAGAACAGGTAAGAATTATAATGACTTAATCATTTATCTTTCACTGTACGTATCGTCTTCGTTATTTGCGGTTTAAGAAATTGAAATTCTAATGTATTTCAATGTTTGATGCGTTCAGGTCAGGGAAGCTGCGACAGGATGTGCAAGGATACGGGGTGACACACTTGGCATAGTTGGATTAGGTAGGATTGGTTCTGCGGTCGCACTGCGGGCCAAAGCTTTTGGCTTCACTGTCATCTTCTATGATCCCTATCTACCAGATGGAATTGAGAAGTCTCTAGGTCTTAACAGGGTCTACACACTACAGGTCTGAACAGCTGCTACTGAAATAATAGTACAAACTTGTAATTGCAACTCATATGAACACTTTAATTAATTGTTATTGTTATTACAGGATTTACTATTCCAATCAGACTGTGTATCCTTGCATTGTACATTGAACGAGCACAATCATCACCTAATTAACGAATTCACCATCAAACAGGTACAGTTTAATCTGGAAAGAATTTTAAGATTCCAATGTCTAAATATTCTTTCAATATTCATGTTTTATTTTATTAGATGAGACCTGGCGCCTTTTTAGTCAATACAGCAAGAGGTGGATTGGTAGATGATGACGCGCTAGCCGCAGCGTTGAAACAAGGCAGAATTCGTGCAGCAGCACTTGATGTGCATGAAAACGAGCCATACAACGTCTTTCAGGGTCAGTCCTCGCAGTGTGAGTTTATCTACCCGCGCCTAACCCCTGATCACCTAACTAACATTTCCTTTCATCATCCTGGCCCTTCCTTGCTATGGAATAACATCAGGCTCGTGTATCATAGGTGCCATGAAACATAGCACATAGAAGTAAAATTAAAACATGCTGGAAAATTTATGCATGGACTAAGAAAAAAAAACCTAAATTGCTAATTGTTACGAGCTGAAGTTATTTTCAATTTCATTAGTTAGTAATGGGAATTCAACCACGTGTTTTAATGTTTCATGAATGAAATATTATATTCAATATTAATGAGTTCATTGATGAATCATCTGTATTACTGTGCGAATGTCCGCTCGCAGTAGGAGTTGTCTTTCAGTAAACAATGCGCAAGAAGATTGCTTAATGTTCATGAATGTTGCAACGTTAGTAATGTAAATGGATCTTTGTCTTCTTCCAGGTCCTTTAAAAGATGCACCCAATCTGTTATGTACACCACACGCAGCATTCTACAGCGACGCGAGCTGCACCGAGCTTCGCGAGATGGCAGCGAGTGAAATACGAAGAGCTATCGTTGGTCGTATACCCGACTGCTTACGAAACTGTGTGAACAAGGAATACTTCCTTTCCTCGACCGGGTAAGCTATGTTCGTACATTAATAAAGACTTATTCAGCTTGTTTATATTAAAAAGATAAAAAAAAAAAAAAAAAAAAAGTGAAAAAAAAGCATAGGGTATTACTTGAGTATCGTTGCATTTGTTTCTCTTACACCGGGGGAAAAAGATATCGTAATTTTTACAGAAACAGATTTTCAAGCAGATGTTAACTCGTATTACATGGAAAGAGAATCGAGTGTGTAAAGTAACGTGGTTAGAAGCGTTCGAACCTTTGGATTTCCTAAGATCGATTGGGCACTTTGTAAAAGGCATTTATCGAAGTGGCCAATTTCTTTTCGCTTTCTCCAGCAGCTACCCTGAGGGGATCAACGGCGGATACTATTCCGGGGGGCTGCCCGTTCAACAGGCGCATTCGACGACTCCTCACGATTCTGCACCCCCACCTCCTGGTGGGCATTCCGTCGTCGGCGGCGGTGGTGGTGGGGGTGGTGGCGGACCGAACTCCTCTGCAGGCGGTGCAGGCGCCGGGGGTCCTACAGGCCCTACGGGTCCAACGGTAGGCGGCGGTGGGGCTGGAGGCCCTACTTCAGCTCCTCCTACTGCTGGATTAACCGGTATACCACACAGCATAGTGAGCGAGCCTGACCCCCGGCCAAGCCCACCTGCACCGAGCCCTCGTTGACCTTGAACCCCCGACGTCCACTCCAGCACCACCCTCCGATCTAATTTCCCTTAGCCATTTACACACGACCTCCGACGACAAATGGCCGATTGACTAACGTGTGTCGTGCACGATGTGCCCCAAAAATCTGTCCGCTGCTTCCGAGGAACTCGAGGGAATCCATCCTTGAGAGAAAAAGAGTGAAAGAGAGAACGGGGGGTAGGCGGGAAGAGAAAGAAAGAAAGAGAGAGAGGATGAAGTAACGGAGAGAGCTGAACGAATGCTTGAAAGAAAGAAGTTGTATGATTGCTGTGTGCTTGTAAAATACGTGTTTCATTTTTTTTTTTTTTTTTTTTTTTTTGTCTTAAACGTACACGTGTTTTACCTGCATCGGCATCGTGTGCATGCCTCGTATGAATGGTGTGCGCATGTATGCTGAGCTTTTGAGTCTACGTTTGGTGGACTCCTCGAATAGTGCATTTGATGTAAACATTGTGACCAAACCAAATACAGTTGGGCAGTAATGATGACGGATTATGAAATGTCGTGGCTAAACGGAGGAAATAACAAACGGTGGGTAAGAATTCTCTGTGTGTCGTAATTTTGTATAAAAATGAAGAAAAAGAATCACTTCATACTTAACCGCACGTGACTTTAGAGGACGCAAAACTGAACGATACAAAACGATGTTGTTGATTATTTCTTTTTTTTTGTTTGTTTAATTCTTTCTTTTCTTTCTTTTTTCGAAGGTCGATTGGTAATTAGTTCCTCGAGCCCCATGATCAGTTCTTCCTTTTATGATAACCTGCAGCATCGAGAAGTACATTGGCTAGTCATAGAGTACAAATCAAACATGGGTGACATTGTAACATCTGGCACGTATAGTTGAAAAGTATGTTGAAAAAACGAATTTAGCCTAAATGTCTGTGTATGTTTCATTGACGATATTTCTCTTCCAATTGATAGGTTAACGAAATCTAGGGAATGTTAATCAAATTCCAGAATGTTATTTTTTATTTTCTATTCTCAACGTAGAATTCCATTTTGTAATTTCTTTTTAGTATTTCATAAATATCTTCTGATATAAATAAATGAAAAAAAACCTCCCTGTTCGATATGGATATTACATATATGTATATATATATATATATGTTCGATTAATTACATATTTCATTTTGAAGTATGAGAAAATATGGATTTAGTCTTTTCTCGCAAGGTCATACATTATTTCGCCACACTGTATTTGGGTTCGCGCATGCTCTTTAGTTTTTTGTTTCTAAAAGAACCATACTCCCAAGAGCATATATTAATTATAGATATATAATTTGGCAACTTCAGTAATTTTTACAAACTTTGTTTCTTTCGTGGACGTTGTAATTCTCTCAGTGTTAGTATGTTTATTATTAAAATGAAAATGTAGTTGCTCACTGATATACATTTTTATGTTTTTACTCCGTGATCATGAAAATGCTGCGTAAAGTCCAAGAAAACCCTGGTGTCGAAAGTGGTAACGAGAAAAATTAAACCAGAGAAGTTTAGTAATAAATATTATCGTATCTGTGGTAAACGAGAAAAAAAAAAATGAATGCGGACAAAGGTGAAAAGGAAAACCGAGGAAGTATGTAATCCGTTGGGGCATTCTCGAAGCGTTGTTGTGGGGGGGAGGGTACTTCACCACCGCTGTGTTGGTAGTACTGAGTAGAACTTCATCAACCGAATGCCTGGTTTATTGTAATTTTCAAACGTCGTTATCGATGCAGAGTAGACGCATTTCAATTGCCTTACGATATTCGTGTATAATTAAAAAGTAAGGTTTGTTTCATTTCAATTATATCGATCCGATGAATAAAATTGTATCTGACGAAGAAGAGAGAGAAAAAAAGAAAAAGAAAAATCCTTGTGTTCTTGGAGAGAAAGGAGAGAGAGAGACTCTTGGTGAACCTAATTTTATATAAATCTCAGTTACGATCGAAATATGGTACCGAGTTACCGGTTGTAAATTTTTCTTCTATTTTGTAATGAAAATAAAGTGTGTATATAGAAGCGATTGTTTGAGTTACAGGGAACTATATATATATATGATCTTTTGTATTGAATGTTAGGGTTTTTTTTTTATTTTTATGTGTATTAAGGAGTGATAGGTGGGATGAAAGATATATATTTTCGAATGGTATGACTCGTAGGCGATTGTTGACCACGATGTTTCTTCTCTCTCCTTCTTTTCGAGGATGCTATTCATCCGGGACGTTCATCGGTATCGATCGAGATCGTTATGCACGGGTGTATAGTAAGAGAGAAAAAAAAAAAAGAAAAACGAGTTGCTTCAATAAACTGAAAAAAAATGTGTCATCTTTGATTTGTTGGCATGTATTTTTGTACTTCTTTCAAGTTACACTCACGAATGCCTTAACGTTCCGTAAAGAAAAGATAAAAGAAAAAAAAAAGAAAAGAAATGAATGCAGCATCTTCATCGAGAGGTTTAAATCCGTAACGATATATAAACTAGGTAACATCGATAAGTGGCGTTTTGATACAGAGTATTTTTGTGTTTCCAAGGAGACAAAAAACCACTTATTGTTTCAGAGAAAATATACTTATCGGTTAGCAGTCTTTTTGAACGTGTGAGATTGCGAATGGGGTGGAAGTGAGTGCGAGAGAAAGTAAGAAAGAGAGAACGGATATATGAGCGAAAGGTAGTACGAACAGAAACAAGTTTTATTAATTGATAATTATAATATGATTAATTATTGTATTAAGTAAAGTAATGCGATGTTACGAACACTGGAATATATTATCGAAAGATAAATCATTTAAAGAAAAAAAAAAAAAGATGAAGAAGAAGAAGAGGAAGAAGAAGATTGATAGAGAAGGAAAAATGGACAATTTTTTGAGAAAAATTATTGAAAGCGATGATAATAAGTAAATAAAACGAAAAAAAAAAAAAGAAATTAAGAGTACGAAGAAATCTATTTTAGAGACACACATATCTATTCGGTTTTTTATATGATTTCGCTTTATGAGAGAATCTATCAGAATTTAGAGAGAGAGAGAAAAAAAATACAAACAAGGGCTGTTGAGCTATCGTCGTAATTCATGGATGGTCGTAATGGTGTTGGTCACTGATTTTTAAAAATACAATTTTTCGAAGCCGATGTGCGATCGTGAAGCGTCGAACCTCGTGTGTTTTTTAAGAGACACGCAAATTGCGGGAAAGAAAGAAAAGAAAAAGTGATATGTATAGATAATTAATTTTTTTGTTCTCAGCGGTCGATATATGCCAGATAAAGTGTTTTCTTTTCCTTTTTTTTTGTTATATTTAAAAAAAACACGTTCGAAAGAAAAAAAATAGACTGAAACGTTTGGTATTCATCGATGCCTCTGGGATACACGCATACACATTACACACGTATACACGTACATACATTCATACATACGAGCTTTTGCTTCGAAGCTTTCAAAGCGGATGAAAAAACCATTCCAACTGATCTAAGCAACACTTGATCGATAATACTACGAGACACACGATGTGTAGGAGCGAGCGAGAAAGAGCGAGAGCGAGAGAGAGAAAGATTTCAAAGAAGAAATAAAACAAAGCATCACAAAATACGTACACAGCGTGACAGAGATGACATTATACATTTTTAAATAGAAATACGCTACGTACACTTCAGTGCAACGTAGACTTCCTATGATTAAGAATAAGTGTAGAGGGAGAACCCCCCACCACTAGCCTTAGATCTTAGGGAAGTCTAGAAATTCCCTAGGGAGAGCCTAAGACTACAGTTACAGTGGAATCATTTTCTAACACACTAATCTTCTGACGAATAGATTTGTAATATTCTTCGGAACGTATACAATGTAACCAATCTCTTAAGAATTTGTTTATTCGATTATTTGTTAGAGAATGTTTTCACTGTAGTCGCAGCCTAACCTATAACCTCCTATCCTCGCACACAAAGAACAAAGGCGAGTGGTGGGACATTTTTCCCCTCTTCGCTTTTCTTTAATTAAAGGAAGCCTAAGTTGTACGTGACCGTACACAATTTACACGACAAGGGTATGTCTGAAGCGGGACGAGGTGGTCCACGAAGCTGCATGCTTATTTAGAAGACTTCCGATATAGAGAGGTAACAAGAGGAGGCCAACTCGTCTTCGCTCGCAGCTGTACACTGGGTACATAACGTAGAAACATTATACATACGTTCTTTTTCTTTTTGTCAAGAAATATTATTACTTATAAATACATTATTATATTATAAAGAGAGAACGAGAGCGAGCGAGAGAATTTTGACGAATGAAGAGGAGACACTATTCTACGAAGAGGACAAGAGAGTTGTTCTTATATATATAGTTGTAATTGTGAAGAGAGGCAAATTAATATGAGGATTCATGAACTAGTATCTACTACCCCACTTCGATTACCAACTAGCCAGTAAAACATGAAACCTCCTTTTCCTCCCTTCTTCCTATGAGAAAAATATGTGGGTCCTGATGCTGTGGGATTACAAGAAAACTAAAAAAAAAAAAAAAGAAAAAAAGAAACAACCAGAAACTCACATATTCATTCATCCGTTTTTAATCAGTTGTTCTCATATGAATATTATATATATATATATTATATATATAGAAAGAGAGAGATCGTTTTTTTTTTTAAATGGCGCCAAAACACCTTCATTTTACAATTACAAAAGAAAGCAAACTGACAAAGAAAAAGCCACATAATGAAAAATTGAAGGTGGTGAAAACAGCAACATTAATATTATAATTAATAATAATTATAATAAATACAATATTTGTACAATAATCAACGGTGCTGTGGTGGATGCTGTTAGGTCTACATATGCGATACCCTGTTTCTTAACCTATCCTGACCCGTTTGTAACGATTCTCGTAAACGCACAGATGAACGAAAATGATCAGGAGAAACATTTGCGAGGGCAGAATTCATTTTTTAAGATATATATATATATATTAAATGGCGTTTCATATATTCGTTTTCTAATTTTCCTTCGATTCGCTGTTCCGATTCAAGAAGATGATAACTATAATGAATTCTCGACGAGTTCCTAATGCCAAATACAAACACATATTGTGATTATTACTTGTCTTGTGTATCGTTTTAAAAAAATATCCAAACGTCGTTAAGCCCTTGAATAACAAAGCGTGTGGTTCGTTTCCGCGAAATTGAATCAGTCAGGAGGCAGAACACCCTGTTCTAGGAGTATCGACCGTCGTAATTAGTTTATTTTTTTACATTTTCTCAGGTAAGCTCGAACCAAGTTGAATCACAGGTATTCGACAGCATCGCGGTAAAACGCGATTGTTATCGATAATCGATATTGAGCTGTGTCACGTTAGAGAGCCACCGTGGACTCTCATATGCCTGTTAAGGTTACCACTTTGACTGAACCTTAATAGACACAGCTTGCATTGGTACGGTTTCTCACCGGAGTGAATACGAAGATGTTTCGTTAAGGTAGAACTGTCCGAGAATGCTTTTTTGCAGAATCGACATCTGGAAAAGAAGATACCAGTTAAAAGGTAAATCGATTAATTGCGAACTAAACATAACTCTATTTTGTAATTATTTAATAGTTAAATATTGAATCTTTATTATTTCTTGTGTATGTTAAAATAAAACGGGTGTTTATAACAAGGAACACCCCTCACGTGTTAAATCAAAATTTAAATCAAACTGGCTTTCGCGGGGATTCTCATTATAAGTATTAAAATGCTGGATCGAATAACATAGATTACAAAAAGTAATTTCAATAATCCATATAATGTAATAAAGCTCACCTGTATGGACGTTCCCCCGAATGCGTTCTCATATGTGTGGTTACCGAACTGCTTTGTGAAAATCTTCGATCGCATACGGGACATCGAAACGGTTTTTCCCCGGAATGAGTCCTCGCATGGGCGGTTAGATTAGCTGCTTGACTAAATGCCTTCGAGCACGCATGACACCTTAAAAAGAAAGGATATTTATTAACGTTTATTCAATTTTAATAACAGACGTAATCCGAATACAGTACTGAAGTACTATTATTGTTTAAAAAGGAAAAGAAACGGCATAATGTTGCGCATGCGCAGTTAAGTGGCGCATAACTGTATACAATCTTCATATTTTAATTAATCCTTCAACGTTGAAATCGACCTTACCGATTGAACGTACAAATGGTAGACGTCACTAACCTAAACGGTTTCTCCCCAGAGTGCGTTCTGAGGTGCGTCTTGAGGGTGCTGGGTCTGGCATACGATTTGCCGCATATTCTACAGAGGTTAGGTCTGCCATTGTCATCGGGTGTGACCGGGTTTCCGGAGGCGGTTATGCATAGCGCATGCTCACTTGACAGCTGTAGCCTGGAATGGCCGTGCGTCGGGGGATGAGAATGAGGATGGGTGCTGGTGCCGATCAGGCTATTGGCCGGGGGTTGATTCACCCTCGTCTGCTGCTCTACGGGATTATACTGCTGGGCGGGACTTAAAAGGGGTTCCACGCCCCAGGCCGACGAATAGCTCTGCTCGTACCTACGCACACATGGACAAATTTCTGAATAATACCCCACGGCATGCGCACCCTCTTCGACGAATAAAATGGCGAGGGGTTGTTTTCTTGTTGAAGAGGAATTTTGCAATTCCTTTTGTAAGCTGTTCTATGCGAAATGGAAGGTAACGACAAAGGATGACTTTATAAGAAGTTAATTCATTTTTGTATGTAAGGTTAGGTTCAAACCAGTTACCTATGTAACTGGAAATGTTGTGTATTTTATCTGTTAATAAAAGTAGAATTAGATGAAGATAAACCTACCCAGAATGCATGTTCATATTCATCGTCATGTTCATGGAAACGTTCACGGACATGGCTGGGGTGGAGGTGTAGTGGGTGGGTGGTACAGGTGGACCAAGATTTTGCGTGTAATCCTGCGAGTAATGATGACCCGATCCTCCTGTGGAATAATATCCGCCTGTAGGACTTCCGGGATGAACCACCGCATGTTTCAAGGATAGTAAAACATCCGCGACACCTTCTCCGTTACCGTTCCCCGTCCTCGGCGCGCATTCGCCTCTGGTGCAACCCCAACTGCAAGGACACTTAAAAATTACAAGGTACATCGAATACAGCGTTAAAATTACTATATTTTTAAAATACGTGCTTCTTCAATTTTTAACGCGTTTAAATTAAAGTTGCATTTTTATTTACAACTTAAATATTTTTACATTTTCTTTTTAACGCCTTCATACTTGTTTTAATAATTTTATAACTAAATAGAATATTTCAAATAAAACGCCTTGGTATTTGATAGAACTTCATTGTGAAAATTAATTGATAAATATGTATAAGACGTGAAGGCATTGCGACTACTAGCAAGTAGTACGGCCAGACATTGGTCAGGCGAGTGTACGCTGGCTAGTATAATAGTTGAACCAAACGCTTAACACTTTACATTTTTGTAAAACAATATTAAATTATTATTCGTCGAATATAGGCTACATATGAAATTATAAAAATAATCAAAATTATTAAAAATAGCACAGATAATTAAAAAAATGAGTTCAGATTAAAACACCTATATTTTGCACAGAAAATTAATTAAATATAAATTTTAAAATAAAAATTCGTTCAAAGCAGAAATTACAGATAATAGATTTATTTTATTTCAAACAGAATGGAAAATGAAAAGCACGAGGAAACTTTATCTACGACTCACTTGTAGGTTCCAGAGCAGGGACTGAAGAGGCCAGGAGGTAAAGGGTCCAAATCCAAGGGTGGCAATGGAAAGCCAGCCATGTCGTCCACCCAGAAACTGGCCCCAAACTCGCTGACCACTTGATTTTGTCCCGAATTTTGGATCTGTTGTGTTTGATCGGCACCGATATCTTCCGGCGAGTTCTGCAGATCCTGCAGACGAAGGGTGCCCTGCAGAGCACCCAGAGTTTCTTCGTTTTGATTATCTGTTAGGGTGTCTTCGTTGGATAACACTCCAAGAGGCCCGGTACAGAGGCCGGAAGGTATGGTGGCCTCGATGCTTCCCACCGAACCTATGATATTCAAGAGGATATTTAAAAAAAAAGGAAATAGGAGAAGAGGTATTACAGGTGTTTTGATGGTCAAGATATTTCTGATATTTAATAGTTTGATACGTGAACTTTGAAGCATTAATGAATATAATTTAGAGTCTCAAATATTAATTATCCATAGAGAAATATTAGAGTATTCACTGTAAAAATTTGTCATTTAATGTTTCAAAATTCAAAGTGCACAGAATTGAGATGAAAGTAGAATATCTTCATATGAAAACTCTAATAGCATAATTAACTTCACTATGTAAATTCTTCCACAAATATCAAGTTATCTAGCAAACCAAAGATCACAGTTATGCTCCAAGTTGAAATCAGTATCTCTCAATGGGATAATTCATTTTTTGCACAATTTAACAAATTAATGTTTTTTTCTTCAACAGGAACACTGGCTCACCTGTGCCGAGGGTGTACGGCGGTTCGGAGGTGTTCACCGTGTGATGATTCTGCAGAAACTCCATCTCTGCGAAATTTCTGGTCGCAGCCGCCCTTAGAGACACCCCCTTTCCCCGCCTCTCGACAAAATACACGGATGGATTGCCTCCTCTCTGTAGAGATGTGGTCCAGCCCCTCTGGTCGCCCTAGCAACCGCACATTGCTCCGTGAGTATGCCACTGACTTCTTTATCAATATCTTTTTGCCATATATTTTCAAACGAACTTAATTATCAGTGTACGTTGTTCTTAGAAACTGGCTTTTGATGCTGCCACTTCTTTTCTGGGACAGTAGATAACTTTAGCGAAGAACTTGTGATGGATTATGTAAGTAATTTTTCTCTGATGGATTATAGAAATATATTTTAATATATTTTATGATTGATGTTTCTTATATGAAAGGAGAGATTGATAAATAATTTGAGATACAGGAGTTTAAGAATTGATTTTAATATAGAGAGTAATGTAACTTTTCAGAGGGGGTTGTTTTTAATATTAATGTTGAATTGAATAATTAAACAAAGGAAAGGGAATTTTGAGAGTTAGTATTAATAATGTAGGAGGGTAAATTGAAAATTTAACTAGTTTTAAGTTAAAGTTCACTAAGTTTACATCGAATTAATAAACGCTTCGGTTATTCAACATACCCCCATATAATTATTAAAAATTAGTATGTTAATATTAACATTGGCAAAAAGTATTCTTGGGTACAATTTGCAATTGGAAAGGAAATATGATAAAAAGGTAAAATATTTGAATTTACAATTAGTCAAATTATTAAAACAATGAAAGAAGAGAAATTTCTAAATACCATTGAAATTATACTCATTGTTTAGAACAGAAAATTAACTCCTAATATCTTTAATAACATCCAATTATTTTTGTTTCACTGTGATAATCAATGTGTTAATGCATCATTTAATTAACTAACAAGCGAAAGATTCAATTAACAAATATATGTAAGTGTTATTTGAAGAAATTAAGGGTCTATATTTAATACTTAATGTATTGACTCTTATGGGGTCACCGATGACCGGTGCCACATATTTAATGCAACTGAAATCATAACAGAAAGCAATATTTAAAAAAATATTTCTTATTAAATTGTGTCATATTATACTTGGCCACTTTCACTGCGCCATTCAACGCGTTAATATTACAAATATGCTTCAGTAAAATCAGCTTCAATATAAGTGATATTACAAAGGTGCTACGAACATTTATAAGCTGTGTTCAAAAATAAAAAACACAGGAAAATGATAAAAAATCTGCTCTACTGAAACATTATCAGCTTCACAGAAATTCCCATGGAATAATAAACAGTTTGAAGCTACGCCCATAAAATCGTATGATCTCGAATAAAAAAAAATACAGGAAAAATTATAAAAAAATCTGAGAATTTCATGAATGAGTTTTTATGAATGGGTGAAAGGAAAATGCACGTACATATGGACCTGAGCGTATAGAAGTACCTTTATGGCTTGGAAGACCTGCCGGTTTCCTCTAAAGGCTTCTGCAGAAAATCTGCCAGATACTTTCATTCATAGCCTGAAAACCATGTGCATCTTCCCACGTGATTCGGTTCTCCATTTTCAATGACTCAAAATGATCATCTATCCAAGAATTAGTCCCACCGTTCTAAAACATATGATTCCATAAAGATGCACCTTCAACAAACTACTTTTGGTCACTTGAAAACAAGAATTATAACATCCAGCAATGTTACAATCATCCAGTTGAAGAAGATTACCAAACTTCCACAATCATTCACAGGAAAGTCATCATTATCAATGTTCAATCAACACTAGAACTTCAACTATCATACAATATCATCAGCACTGTTTTATTTCTTTCTATTCTTGTACAGATCCTTGATTCTCTTCTCAGTCATCTCTGAAGTATTCTTCTTCTCACAACACTGGTTTCAGTCTGACTTTGAAGCACCTTGAAGACATAATTGCACCTTGAACACTGTTCTTCACAAATGAACACTGAAGAAAAACAAGAAAAATCCAAGGAATGGTTCACTGAAGCAGAAGTTCACCAGCAGAGTCCAGTCTAAGAATGATGAAGTACGAGTGTCAATCTTGAGGTGACAAAAAGAAGAAGTCCTCGGACACAGCACAGCATGCTGCTGCCATGCTGGCACGATGCCTTGTCAATGTGTCTTGGCTAACTAGAGATCTACCACCTACTATCACCCACTCTCACCCCTTACTCACTGACTACGTACCATCCGACCCCACTCCACCATGGGCCGGCCTTTTTCTTCGTACTCTTTTTTTTTTCTCCTCTCCCTCGGCTGCCTTCGTTCCACGTGCGTACCATCCTCTTCTTCCACGTGTGTACCCCTACCCTCGCACGTTAACCTTTCCTCCATCCAACGCTCGGCTAGGTGTTTTTAAGTTAAGGAGATTTGCAGGACTTTTCAATTATGCCTGTTTGCTTGATTTGTGCTTTGTGTCTTTGAGGGTGGAAAATAGTATTCATAGGATTGGTTTCAAGTATATTTAACTGAAGTGAAACTTTTCAGTGGTAAGGGTTGGTTTCAGTTATCAATCAGTGGGTGAATATTTGTAAAATTTAACACAGTTGCTTATAGTAATATTTTATTCATTGAAAAGTCTGATTTTGTCATGGGACATACAACAGTGTCCCATAAACTATAGATTACTATATTGAAGTTATGAAGTGCTAGGACTTAGTTATTTGTATTCATAGTGAAACTTTCCAAAGACAGCGTGATCTCCTATCAGTTATAACAAAAGAAAGCAGTCAAGTATAGGAATAAAAGTGACGATGGGAGAAGAGGATGTAAGAAACGGTTTAAACGATATCCATGTCCAGGAACGTGTAAGACGTAAGACGTTCGTATACACGGGTTGGACGTCGTCGATGCCGACGACACGGGATACTAATCGTTCATTCGGCGATCGTTGATCGGTGATCGGGGGCCTTCTTCGAGCCTCGTCTCTGCTATACCGATATCCTTGCCAGCGAGAGGGACGGGGAAGTAGGATATTATTTTCTTCAGATACCATTACCACGCCGATCACGGTGGTCCTGCCTTGCAGACGAGTGGCCCCGATACCCTCGAGATCACTGGCTTGTAATGCCTTCCCTTTCGTGGATTATTGACCAGTGAACGGTGAGCCCGGCTGCGAAACACTCCGACGCTACCTATTCCACTTGCCAGACTCTGCCACCCTCTTTCTTCGACTGTTACCATCTTCTGTTTGATATAGAGTGTTACTTATTCTACTTGGGAATAGCTTTAACTCTCAGTAGGGATAAGATAAATAATTACAGTTTGTAAATTATAAGGTTTATTGCCATATTGAGTAATTAAGCAGGACTTATAATAGACCTTGGTACTCCTTAAAATTCTAAGATTTTAAGCTTCCAAAATTCTAAAATTCTGTGGACTCGATCCATCCCAGAAAAAGGTTCTGATTATGCCAATATTAGTTTGCAAGTTAGAGTGGTTGGGTCTGAAATTTTGATAGTGAAAGTCATTATATTGAAGCTCTGACGTTAACCCTCGGATGGCGGACCATGGAGAGAGCCCCAATTTCAATTTAATTTAAACCTGTATTTCATATTATTTTCATTTTCTAAATTTTGCACTGCCCTTCTAAAAATGATAAGTGAATGTCATTATTGTGAAGCTCTGATATTTATTAACCCTCGGACAGCGGACCATGGAGAGAGCCCCAAGTTTCTTTTCTCCCTCATAAATTCTTTTTCCAATATATGCAACTCTTTTACTCATATAATATCCTTGTATACATTTTTAAATTTGGGTCACGACGACCCAGTCTCTGCTCTTCTAAGATTGAAGATACTTTTATCATCACCCATAAGATTCCAGTGCACCCTGCATATATCCTTCCGCATCGGAAGAATTAATCACGACTAAAAGACACGAAAAGCGTACTTCCTGGAATCGAAAATTCGTCAGCGAAAATTTCCTCCTGATTGTACCACTCGTCTCTCACGAGTCCGGTCGCATCCGACTATCGGATGTCGACATAATCGGGACCGTCAGGCCGGACACCTGACTACGTAGTTCCGACGTGGACACAGGAAGAGGAAGTCGACCGCACGGCAGCGCTCTGGCGTCGACCGTGTGTCCAGCAGCAGTGGCAGAGAACCGTCGAATAGTTGGGATCGGGTTCGCGTTATTCGTAGCGTTTTTCAAAGGGAAGCGACGGGAAAGGGCAGAAAAATCAACGAGAAGGAGAAGGGAACTGGTGTGAAGGGTGTTAACGAGGAGAGGGAGGGGTAAGAGGTTCACGTGGAGGAGAGCAGAGCTCGCAGCACGCCGAGTGTACACCCTGGGTATTGGCTTACACTTCCAGCCGATTGGGCCTATGGTATTTACGCAGGACCCCGTAGAAAACCGGACCCCGCCCTCTCCCTTTCGACCCCAACCTGCAATTCCACGGAACTGCAACGTTTTCAACTAGCCAAAGTTCCTTGCATCGTCGCATTCTTCGTCCAACGGATGGAGAAAAGGATGGACAGCTAATCAATTGATTTTTCATCGATTAACAAATGAACATCTTGATAATTAATTCATTATGCAGTTGTATATTAAGTGGGAATTTGATGACATAAATGTGTTAGGAGATAACTCTTATGGAATATGAATTTGAAGCGCAATGTTTAATGAGAATTACTGCATAAATTGTTTATTAATATTCTTGATACAAAATGGTTGATTGCTGATTGCAACATACAATAACTGATTTTGGGATATCTGAAGTCTGACACGATTTGATAACATAAAAGTATTACAAAATAACACTTATGACATATGAATTTGAAGCTCAATGTTTAATGAAAATTACTGCATAAATTATTTATTAATATTTTTGATAGAAAATAGCTGATTGCTGATTACAGAAAAACAATTTAAAGATTAAAGTTTGATGAAAATGATGATATGAATGATTCACTGGATGGTAGTTACACCGAACAACGATCAATCTCGAATTGCACCGAGCCAGATATCATTAATTGATATTAATTTAGAGCTTAAAATTTGCTAACAATCATCAGAAATTTTAATCACCAGTAATTCCCACAATTACGATAAAAAAGAATTTCCATTGAACGTTTATGCTCGCTTTGCTAATCCCAGATCTTTGATATAAAAAAAGCAGAGATAACGTCTGCGGTAACACGAATTGATCTCATCACCCTCTTCGGCCACACCTGTGTTTGCTCGCACCTGAAATCAAAGAGGCGATTACATTCCCGTCATCGTTACACCAGCGAGCCGAGATGAGCAAATAACCATTGCACGTACATCCGCCTTGATCACGTGTGCACGTTAGGTGACCATGCACACCGGGTTGCATCAACCATGAGCGCTTACTTAAATACTTTGTGCAAACAAAATGTCTGGTTGCAGTATGTAGGGAGATGTATCATGAATTTCTGAAACAATGCTTTTGAATAAAATGTAAATGGATAACATGATTTATATATAGAACAAAATTTGGAGATAAATGAAAGAAGTAGCATAAATGCATTGATGGTTTTTTATTAAATTAAAAAGTAATTTCAAAGAAATACTAAAATAATAATTTTGAATGCAACAAAACTAAAAAAAAGGAATTTAAAGATACATTTTTTTCATCATAGTTTAAGACAAACTATTGAATCAATGTAATTAGAAGTGAAAACACATTACCTCTAACTTAAGCAAGTGTGTATTTTCAGTGAAAAGTATTTTTAGTTGCGTTCGACTTAGACAAAAGCACAATAGCCCGAATAAAAATTATTTTTTCACCCAAAACACATTCTAAAATATTATCCACTTCCTTAATACGGTCAAAGCTATTTCACTAAATCTAATTCAAATTTTTACACAATTCAACCGAACTATTTCTATACCGTCGCGTGTGGCACAATATCTATTCCCTTTCATCCTCTCGGATAACAGTTTCAAGCAACAGTGGTGTAGTCGTGATTCAAAGTTGAGTGATTAACCCTCGTGATGAGATGACAGTGACCGTATTGTTCGCGATCAAAAGTATCCTCCCATTGCTCTCATCTCCCTGCATTAAAGTGATTGCGTATCGGATAATCTACGATAAACCTCGCTTTGAACGATCAAGATGTTACCAAATACGTCACGGCTACTTAATTACATTTGCGGTGAACCACCTCTTGTGGCTGAAACTAGTTCGATCGCCTGACCGGCGTATAATTGCGAGACAAACCTCCAACGCCCCTCTACAATTTCCTTATCAGAAATCCCTAGAACAAGTTACGAAATATCTACTAAACGGTCGAATTATTTTCCAAGTTGGGCCCAGTCGATAAACGAGGACACCTACACTGTCTACCACTACCAACCGAAAATTTCTCCCTCGTTGTTTATCTAAAAAGCAAGCTGTTCTCAACGGAACCGTTTGTCGCAAGCGGCAGAATGTAACCGCGGAACATCTTCGTATCGTATCGGGTTTCGTATTTTGAGAAAGGGTTGCTAAGGAAAGAAAGTTGTCCGTCGCATCTGTCCGACTAGCCGGCTAAGAAAATAAGAATCATCGGGATGATTAGCGAAGAAATATAGCCGGACTCGTTTACAACAGTTTCTCGAAGGATTAAAACCGTGTCCACCCTGGCTGGTAACTCCTGCTCGTCGAAATAGCCGATTGAATTACACGCGGCGCGTGCCAGCCGGCCGCCACCGTCACCGCATACGCCAAAAGATCGTCTCTAAAGAATAAAGAACGTAATAAGCCACTATCCGATCGCTATCTTGTCATCCGATGGGATTTACAGCGACAAAGAGGCCGTTCCCTGTTTGTCAATCTCTTCGTGACACCCTGGAGAAGAACTCGGAGAATGGTCGTGCGAACGATAAAGGTTACGTATTTAAAAATTTGTTTAAATAGAATAATATAGAGATATTCGGAAAATTTAGTTTTCAATTATTCTACTTGTTTCAATTTGTCGAGTAATTTTTATCTAAAGGACGTGGGAATTAGTAATTAGGAAGGCACTTAACCTAATTTCAACAAAAAAAGAAATAACCTTTTTTTTATCTAGGAACTATGTTTTTATTACAATTACAATTATGTTTAATTGTTAAAAATGAATCATTTGGTCTTGAAAATATTATATTTTGAATTACAGAAAATATGAACCATTTGAAAGTATTCAAAAGAAATAAGAAAAAAGCTATATCTATTTAAGTTCATGTTATATCAGGGGTTAATATAATAAATAAATAATCGAGGTTAATTTTCGAGTATGGATAATTTATGTAATATTTTATTCTTTATTTTTCATGTAGGGTGATTACTATTAATCGAATTTCTATTATTTTCATTTTACAGTAACGAGTGAAATTGAGGGAAGGTTGAACGATGAAGATGAGTTTTATTGTGAAATATCTGTGGAACATCAGGAGAGCAAGAAGAGACAGGTCTAATTGCGCCAGTATTCTGGAATTGCTTTAAAGCATTAGCTGGAACGTCGCAGAGAGGTATACAACCCCCCAAGATGGCTGACTCCCGGGCGTATCGACGTTTGGCGTTTGCGAGGTTTCCCAGAGGTAAGCTCATCGGAAATTGTGGGTCTTCCCTCCCCTGGCATCGCCCCCGCCGCCTTTGCTCTGGCCCTTCAAAACAAAGAAACACACGTAATTAAATTTTTGTCCGACACAAATTAATGTGCCCCGCCATAGCACACCGTTGCTCGCAGCTGCACCAACGGGCAAAAGGAAGTTTAATCCGCGATCCGGCTTTTAATCGAGATCCCCCGTCTCTCTCTTCCATTCTCGCACCCTTTCTTTCTATTTTTCATCCCTCTCGGTGTTTCTCTGGTGTTTCTTTTTCTTTTTATTTATTAAAATTATTTTTTTATTTTCAGGCAAATTTTCTATACTTATAACTTTTTAAAAAAATTGTCTTCCCCTTAGATGAATTTTTATTATTTTTAGTCTTTGCTACTCATTTCTCGCTATTTTTTTGTTTTATTAATATTAAGTATTATTTTTGTTGATAATTAATTCTCGTAAGTTTATTTATTTTTTAGCTCAGTTCTCTATTCTTTATCGTTCATTTCTCCCCATTTGCTTTGCTGGTGTTTCCTCTTTTATTAATATTAATATTACTTTTAAAAAATATTAATTTTGATAGATATATATTTGTTTTTTAGCTAAGTTTTCTTTTCTTTATCATTTCTGCTCTTTTTTCACTGATTTCCTTTTACTTTGCTACTTTTAAATTTCAGAAACTGATATTTCCATCAATATTCCATTTATGTTAAGTCTTATTTATACTTTTTCTTAAATCAGTTAAAGTTCTTCTTTTTGTAATACCAGATTTTGAACTTTAAACGTAATGTTTTCGAATTTCTTATCATATCCAATAACGAATTACAAGAAATATTTTCAACAAGCAACGCGGGCAAAGAGCAAAGTTTGAGCCGTAAATAAACACTCGTAATAAATAATCACGATTGGCACCGAAAATCTAGTGTTATTTTCCACAGATCGATAAGAGAAGCATTTTTATATCGATAAAAATCTATTATTGTGACGCGACGGATTAATTTCGAATGTTTTCTTTTGATTAGTACTTATTGAATTTGAAAATAAATTTCAATCTATCAAAGAGGAATAAAAATTCAACAGGTATTAGAAGGTAAATAATAAATAAAACACTGAGACATAGGTGTTGATCAACATTTATTTATACTTCACGTTCGTTAAATAGCAAGATTTGCTCGTACAAAAATAGAGCATTCACTCAGAAACATTGGTAAACCTCTGTACAAAATCCATCCATGAAAATATATTTACAACCTTACAGGGTAATTCCTAGAGAAAATTTTTCTAAAGTTAATTCCAAGTGTCTTCACCGAAGCCTCTTCAACTGATTCCAACTTTCGAATCTTCCGAATGAATGTCACGAAGTTCCTGCAATAAGGAGCAACAAAAGAAAGAAAAAGGTCACATATATTCGTAACTGCGATTGTAAAGCGTTCACGTGATACTGAAGCAACAGCAACAACAACAACAAAAAGAGGAAGAAAAAGTGCGCGAACGTACGTGTAACATCTGATAGTGGCCTCCTTTCACTTCGTGTTGCTCAGTTTGTTCGCTAGTATGATTCGTTAGAAGCGTTCCGTTTTCCACGTCCAATGGGCCAAAGGTCCAGCCACCTTCCCCGTTAAAACGTAACAATAATTTGTGATACTTGGCGAGGGAAGCCACGCGATGGGTAATCGTCAACAGGGTGATCCCTTTCTTTTTCGCCGTCTCGTATATCACACCCTCGGCCTCGAGGCTCACCGCGCTGGTGCATTCGTCCAAAAGCGCGTACTGCGGGGCGTGATAGAACAAACGGGTCATAGCGAGCCTTTGTTTCTCACCGCCCGACAAGGTAGAGTCCCAGTCACCGAAGGCATCGAGTCCTTCGGTTTCCCTCTCAGCCAATCCCCGTAGATCAACCTCTTCCAACAGTTTCAGGAGTTCTTCGTCCGAACACTGCGTTGTCTGCGACTCCGAAGGATATATGATCTGGTCCCGCAGGCAACCGACGGTCATGTAAGGTTTTTGAGGGATGTAAAACAAGGCTGGCCTTCCACTCTGTGCGGAGAAACTGTCACCGGGTCTCACCAGGATGCCTCCATAAACTGGCCACAAACCAGAGATTATACGAAACAGGGAACTTTTTCCACAGCCGTTAGGACCAGTGATTAGTATATGGTCACCTGGATTTATCTAAAAGCAAATTGATATTTGATATTTTGTTTTTGCTGTTTTCTTTGTCTCTTATCTCTGGGTACTTACAGTAAGGGTTAAACTAGGTACAATAACTTCACAGTTGGGTGTAACTATTGGCACGTCGATTAAACTTATACTGCCATCTGCACTTTCGCGCACAATTCCTGTTGAAGTATATGTATTAGTATTTAACGAAGCATATCTTTGGATTGTGGCTTTATGTATGTTACCTTTTATCACTGGTGCACCATCCTTTAATTCAATTATTTTATCTAAGGCATGGTTTGTTGTACCATTTCCTATTCTCATTGGGCTATTAACAATATTTCTTCTATATTTACATAATGCAGCATCCTTAAACACATCTAGCATTTCACTAACTCTGGCTGCGTACCCTGCTAGTGCTACTAGTTCCTATAACAGATGGAGTTGTATGTATATATTATATTATTTATTGGAATTTTCTATACTATTGTAAATCTTACTTTATAAGATGACATAAGCCTTTCTACAGCATCTGCCCCGGAACTTAGAAGATTTTTGGAAGTTGTCAGATATCCGGTTCTCTCGCTAACGCCACCTAGTTATTAACAATTTTATTAATACTTGATTTTTATGAAATTAATTTATATTAACATTTACACACCATCACCATTATCTATTTGTGTACTTCCAGTGGCTGTGTAAAGGAGAGGCAGAGCAATAACTAAAAGTCCAGTGCCGGACCACACGTACTTCATCAGCAGTTGTTCCAGCATCACGTACCATAATTTCAAAGCCAACACTCTTCTTAAATGCGATACAAGAGATCTGTATGCAGTGATCAAGTAGCGGTGTTCTGTATAGTGCCCACCATAAAATGCAATCTCTTCTGCATGAGCACTGATACGAGCATGAGCTTCTCTCAATCTCCCACGCTTTGATGCTTCTTCAGCCACCAGTTGACCAAATTTAGGTGAAGCTAGACGTAGGATCTGTCCGGTGACAGCAATTACTACGGATGCCAACAGTGGTCCTGTAAGACGATGCAAATGAAATTTAAATGCAGTTAATTATCATACAATTTATATTGCAAATGACCTGTGTCATTTATATAATTCATGAGCGCGCCGATTAACATTACCTTGTATCCTTCTTGCTCCCATTTTAGAAGAAAATGAAATAAGCGCAATGCCCACTAAAGCACAGTCCAACAATGGTTTGGTTAAACTCGAATAAAGATGCGCCACGGAACTCGCCAGTTCAGACAAATCGTCTGTCAGTCTTTGTTCTGCACCTCCAAGTCTATTGTCCAGTGCTGACACTCTATAGTACGTTTGTTGGCTCAAATACATTTTGTAAGCATGCTCCACCAGGCGTCCTCTTTAAAAAACAAACGAGATACTTAAGGCTCGTTGAACGATCGCTAAAAAATAATGGAGATAGAATATTCAGCGCGTTCAAATACCTAAAGCTAAGAGCCAATCGACCCTCCAGATATCTGATGGCCGAATTGACGAAAGTCGCCGGGAGGGCGATGGCGAACCATCTCGTGAGCATCAAGGAGAACCCGTGAACATCTCTCAGCACGATCCTCTTCACGATCTGACCCTCCAAAGTGGCCACGTAAATCGAGAGGAACGTCCTCGCTAGTAGCGTGAGCGTCGCGCATGTTAACAATCCGGCTTCCCGTGTTCTCCATCCGGGCACCATGATCCTCAACAGCGCGATCAGCTGTTTAATGAACTCTCGGTCCAGACCGACGCCAGATTTCCCACCGGTTGCCGCCGATTTCTTGCCGACGGCATTGTTGTCGCGTCGGTTGGAAATCTGGGAAACGTTCTCCGCCTGTTTCCTCCTTTTCTGGTACTGCGTTATGCCGAAACTCACTAATGGATAACCGATTTTCAGGAGGTATAGCGTCGTCGCTACGCCGACCACGCCACGGATCAGCTGTTCCTGTCTGAAACCGTATTTCGCGGACGTCTTGTCGATTAGCTTCGAGAACACCGACGACATCCTGCCGGTGGCACACTCTCATCGGGAGTGTACTGGCGATGAGTGGTTCCTCGAACCGTTTAATCAAAAACGGTCGTTCGACGGCGAACTCGTCAACGACAACCACTCATCGTGTTGTGGCTGGTTGTCTCTTCCCGTCTCCTCTCCTCTCACCGGTCAGCACGCTTATCGCGTGAATCGCTCGGCGAACGCACGAACGAGAGAGAAAAAAAAGTACCGAGTCCCGTTCCGACGACTACACACGATCCACGTAGACCGGCAACCAGCTGGCGACTGCTCGTTGCGTATCTCGGAGACCACCGCTCCCGTTCTCTTTTGGACCCTCTCCGCGGCAACAAGCAGTCGCGACTGGTTAGCTCGTCTATCGCTGGACTTGGACCCGAGTTTATACGTTACCCGTTCTCTCGAGCATCCGTTACGAACGCACATGCTCCTCCACGATTGTCAACGAACTCTTCTCGCCACCTTTCACGAGGACCGTGGACGTGGTAGCGCGATTGAATTGAAAAATTGTCTAATGATACGGAGTTGATAATTTTCAACTCGGATAAATCCCCACTAGAGGGCTTGCTTCTCTGTCGTTGATAGTTTATGAAGGCAATAGTGTTGATCTATCGCGCCGGCAAACGATGAGTCATTTTGGGATAATATCTATCTTTGAATTTACAGGAAAAATGTATTGTCTCATTGTTGGAAGTTTTGGACTGATACATAATTTTTATTCCAGGAGGAAACTCGACAGTTCGCAGGAAACTCGAACACGTGGTGCGTTTGTGGATCAAAGTGCCGCTATTTAACTGTATTCGCAACCTTCCTCTCGTCTCCTTCGAAGATAAGGCTACACACGTACGCAGATTAAACGCGTATATTGGTCGTCTCGTGACGCGTCTTCCATATGTATACACAGGCTTCAGATTTTCTTTGTCCTTTCAGTATTCTTATTTCTCCTCTTCCTTTGGTTCTTCTTTCTTTTCGCTCTGTTTACAATGAATTCAACGCGGTTAAGGGACAGCGTCAGTTGGACAGATAATTCTGAAGACTTTTGGCCGACGCTGATTGTTGGCCACTGATTTATTCTTATTTTAGGTACAGTCGGTTGCACACGGCTCTTGCTCTCTCTGTCCGCCGCTGTTGTGATTGTATAAAACCAGAGGCTGTTGCAATTTGTAATTATAATAAATCATACCCGACCCATGATTATTTATATCTTAGACAAAGAGATTCCATGTTTCTTTTTTACAGTGCGCATGGATCCTGCGCCGAGCGTAGCGTACAGTGACCCCTGGTGTTCTCACGATTCATCATTGGTGCGTGAAAATTGCCTTATAAATTGAGAAGAAATTATTTAAGTGTTTAACACGTTTTGTTCCACGTGGAGCTTTGTTTTGTGATAAAACGTGGCACGGAACGTGTTAACATGGATTTATACGAGTATTCTTTTATATCTGTTTTTCTGTCAGGACCTTTTTGTTGTCATACCGCGTACGAGTCATCGTGGAAGCATTTAAACGAAAGAAAAAGTGTTTGATACCAGTTCCACGGCCATGGTGATATCAAATTTAAATGTCACGAGCGTGGAAGATGCTCGTGTAGCAACCGTCTCTCATGAAATATGGAGAATAGCAAGGTCAGTGCTCTGCTCTAATTCGCGTTACGTGCTTCTCTTTCTTCCTGTTTCTCGAATCATGCTCTTCTGCGATTCCACGTTCCACAGAAGAGCACGACTCCCAATGGGAGACGCGGAAATTGTACATTGGCATTCAGCTGCTGTTATCTACAGTCCATGCTGAAACGTATCCGACGTGACGTAATACACGTCGAGATACGGCTAGACTAGACTTTACGCTTTGCTTCTTATTATTTTTCTTCTCTCTCTGTTTTTATCGTTGATCATCTGAATTAATTAGACGATGATGCTTCGTCTTTATCTGTACGCGAGACTTTCTAGAAGACGGTCATTTTTTTGAAATGGTTATGTTTGATCTGGAATGACTCTTAAATGTAAAGAAACAGCTCGGGCTGCATGGATGTTGCAAGAAGTTGAGGAAATGTTTTAAAAAGGTTTAAGGTGTGGGATTAAATAAGATTTCTTGGTGATACAATATTATAAATCTGAAGGGAAATTTGAAATATTATTTAAACTTTTTTTTTTATAATTTATTATCTGATATTAACATGAGGATTAATAGACATCGTAAAATATTTCTTTTTAAAGGAAGTAAAATAACTTTTCCGGAAATAATAATATATACTTACCGAAATTTCCGGGAAACATTTTGTTTCGCATAAAAGCGGACGTGATGCAAGGAAACATTCTAATCAAACATTTTGCAATCTCATGATTCATATAAGGAAAAAAACTAATTGTCGTTTATTTTCTTGTGATGCACTGTTAAGAACCTAAATTAGGTTAGGATATCGTTTGATTAATTTCGTTCCATTCTATTTTGCAACGAGGCTAGAATTAAGTAGCATAGTGAATTGCATAAAAGCGATGTTAAAATGTAGAAACAGCGTCATTGAACGAGCGTGGACAAAGATGGCCAAGTTTGACAGAAAATGAAAGTTATTTCACAGCAGTGAAATGCAAATAAATTTAAAATTATGTATTCAAGGAAGTTGAGAATCAATCTTTTATTCATCTTTAATTGGAAGAATTATTCCTTTCATTATTTGTTTTTCAAATTGTTGTTCAATTACTTCTAAATGTTCTTTTGCGTGTATAGGAATATAGTAATAGATACATGTGTTCATGACACTTCTTTCTAACGATAAGTTATTAACATGTGTATAGATATGCAAAATTAACGTAATAAGATGTGATAAAAATTTGAACTTTGTTCATTTCTAAGCAAGTTAATTTTCCTTTACAATTGTTTATCTAATAAAATTTGTGGTAATTTGTTTATTTAAATTACACAATTGTAATTGTGCAAATTGGATAACAATAAATTACACGAACAGTGCCGGATTAAGAGGAAGTCTAAGGGGGGTTGCGCATAAAGATGACAATCGTAAGGAATTTGTTGAACTCAAAAGTGTTGTAGTCATATGAATCACAAAAGGATTCTGTAAGTGGCCACGAAGAGATCAGACAGGACGAGAGGGAAAGCGTACTCCTTTCGGCTTTTACTTTACAACGCGCGACACTGTTTTGCGTTTCGTGCAGAACAGAGAAAGTAAAAGTAACCCATCGTTGGAAGCTGGTTTCTTCCATCATTCGCTTTCGTTCTCTCCGAATGTTTCGCGGCTTTAACGAGCTCCTCCGCTACATTTTCAGACAAAACATTTATGATAGTTTCACTCGAATGCTCAATTTTTTACTACTCCTTGAAAGAAATTCTCCTATGGGAGAGTTTCATAAGTTTGGATCATTTTGAATATCATTCAAACTTCATTTTTTATAAACAGTGCAGTAAAAATTTATTTATTATCTAATATTAATATTAGACAAAGATAATTAATAAATATCATAAAGTACAATTTCTTTTTCAATAAACAATAAAATAAGTTTTGAGCTTTTATTAAATTTTGTTCAATATTTTTTCACAAATTATTTACAAAAATAATTATTAAACATTGATGTTACTTAAATAGTGACTATTTTAATGGACAATTTTTTTTTTCAATAAGGAATAAAATAAGTTTTGATATGGCTTAGATTTTTATTAAATTTTGTTTAATATTTTCTGAATAATTATTTACAAAAGAATTACTAAACATTGATGTTACTTAAACAGTGATTATTTTAATGGACATTACACTTACCTTGTATCTTATTAAATATAAGAAGAGGAAGTTGCTTGTTAAAGAAGAAAGTTGGAGAAATTGACTTCCTTTTTTTTTTATTTTTTTAGTTCATTAGTTACGGGGTCTTCCAAGGCCACGTTTATTTTCGTAAATGAAAGCATGTTCTTTTGTTACATAAACCGTGCCGTGTCGAATACATCGAATCAAACAATTCACCTACCGGAAACGGGATGTAACGATGTTTGTTTTGCGTTGTAATTTGAAACGATAAATCAGCATCGTTATGCGAAATTGAAAGCGCCTATTGACTTTGGGTCAATGTACATGACCTGTATCTTATCAAATGAAAAAAAAAAAAGATAAGAATTACATGGGACTTACTTTAATAAATTTGCGATGAAATGTAGTTAGCTTCAATTAATGAGGAGACGTAATTTTACATAAGCAGGGCCGGCCCTGGGCCAAGGCAGACTAGGCGGCCGCCTAGGGCCCCCCAAAGTTCAGGGCCACCCATGGTTCATGGCCCCCATAAGACGATTTTGCGTCTAAACTTGAATATTAATCGAGGTAAATGCAAATCTAAATTAGTTATACAAGCTTTAATATTAATTTTATAAATTTTATTTGAGGAAACTTTTTAAAATGTCATTATGTGAAGGGGCCCTTTAACGCATAAAAAGGTGTAATGAAATATTTTTTTACAACTATCAATTCATTTCGAGTTAATTAAATTTAATTACTCGTATGAACTAATAACAGATTAAAGAACGAAATTCAAAGTTCATTCTTGAACAATTCCTAGCAGGTAGAAATGATATTACGAGTTACAGCAAATGTGAAATGTACTTTTTGTTCAGTGCAGATCTCTCTCAGAAAACGGTGCAAAGTAAATTGTTTAACTGAAAGTCTTAGAAAATCTAGCAATGATTCAGCAGGGTCGTTAGGAATGAACAAAAAAATCAGGTCGTAATACGTAATTGTTGAGGATAATTATTAGGCCTGAACGAGGTTGTGCACATCGATGGTGCAATTTCTACGTGGTTACTTTCTTTCACTTTTTTTTTCTTAAATGGAATTGTGTATAATTGGGTATAAAATACATCAATTGAAGCGTTATTTTATTCTCTATAATAAAGTATTATATTACTTGGGTTGAAAATCGATTAGTTCAAAAGTTAATTTAAGGAAAGACAGGCTCTTCCAATTTCAAAATTCTTTTTTAGGAATTTTGCACTTTCCTTGACGCCAAAATCTGCGTCTTGTTACTCTCTACAAAAGGTTATTAAGGTACATGGATCGAAAATTATTTAGTTTAGAAGATATTTTAGGGAGAGACTTGAGTTCTTCCAATTTGGAAATTTTTTTTTGTATATTGTGCTTCTGTCAAATCCTGTGTATTATCGTTTTCTACAAGTTATTAATGTACTTGGGTAAAAAATTCATCGGTTCAAAAGTTATCTAAAGTTATATAAAGGGAGAGACAAAGAGATCTCAAGTGGTCTCTCCCTAAAATATCTTTTGAACTAATCTATTTTCGACCCAAGTACCATTATACTTTTTTGCAAACAATAACAATACGCAGTAAATGACATTGAAAAAAGTGAAAAATCCTAAAAAAATTTTTTCGAAATTTCAAAATTATCGTTACTTTTTTTTATATTCAATGAAATTTTGTACTGAATTATACATTTTTGCTAATATCGAATAGCGGCTGTGGCTTATATAAAATAAAAATAAAATAAATACAATAAAAGAAATCTTTTAAAATGGAATATCACTTCGTTAATATAATTTAAAATTAGAGTAATTGACTGTGCTAAAAGTACCCTCAGTTAAAGGGTTAATAACTGAGCGTAACACTTGGGTAGTTCTCGTTAGTGGTCTCTCCCTAAAATATCTTTTGAACTAATCAATTTTCTACCCAAATACGTCATTCGATAGCATATCAAAAGAAAATACTGTACACCAATTTTCAACCCTTTATCTTAACCAGAGGAGCAGTGAGGGTGGGTAAAAGAAACGCCAGATCGTGCCCCATTTTTCCTATTTAATAACATCCGAAAATTCTGAAAAAATTCTGATACACTACAAACACGGTAGCGTATATTAGGGAATTTTTTCAGAATTTTCGGATGTTATTAAATAGGAGAAATGGGGCACGATCTGGCCCCCCTCACTGCCCCTCTGGTTAAGATAAAGGGTTGAAAATTGGTGTACAGTATTTTCTTTTGATATGCTATCGAATAACGCATTCTGAATTTAATTTGGTTCAAGGGCCATTTTGCATACCTTACCCGGCTATACCCTTTTATCGGTAATAACAATTTATGATACGAAACGGTCCATACAGAGATAAATGTGAACTCTCATTTATGATTTTAGTCCTTTCTCTGGCACTTTTTTTTTTATCCCCCCAACAAGGCGCGTGTCAAGTGAAATCCATCAGTCTGTACACCTTAAATCTCTCCAGCCTGAAATTTCTCAATAATCAATCGGCTACCTGATTGCTAGTTTTCAGTTATCGAAAAGATATTCAACGTAACGACGATCACCTACTTTTCCGTGATTTTCTCTTTTCCTGGACGGTTTGGAAATTTTTAACGAGCAACATCGTTCCCTTTCAAGTATGTCGAATTGCAAAAGCCAAAGGAATCGTACGATATTTTTATGCAACCATTTCCAGCGCGTTAGATTTCGTAGAAAGGCGAGCGTTTAGATACAATCGTACCAGTCATCAAATTTGTAAGCTTGAAACAGGAATGAGGATATAGGAATATAAAAAGATTCTTTTAAGAATTTCTTGTAGATCTTGCCTTAGATATTTTTATTAATTTTCATAAATTTTAAATAATGATTGTTTGAAAATTACAAAACAATTCTAAGTTTATAAAATCAAGAATTACATGTTGATAGAAATTAAAATGCTCCACGGATAAAGTGTTCGAAACACGTTCACGATGAATGTAGAATTACAAGATCAAACGTTTCCCGAAGAGATTGATTAACTAAAAATGTTAATTCCCTGAGAAGACAGTTGTTGGTCAGATTGCAATCTTCTCACGTTGAGAAAACAGTGTAGTCGTTGGCCAAACCGGGAAACCTTGATGACACGATGGTCATTTATTACCTGATTATCCTTGCGAAAGATATTTGTCAATGGTCCTTTTATAATTTCTGAAAGAATAAATTTGATTTCTATCACTACAATTGAGAAGGTCGATAAAGGGTAATTAATCATCTCGCTTATCAGATCGTTTCTAGAAATATATGTACATTTTAGAGGGCATCGAAAATTATTACATAACAACGTGTTTATTGCTGTATGTTTAGTGGTCTTAATGGACACGAACGCCGTGACCCTATGCAAAATTAATTACATACGTACGTATGTATGTACAATATCTTGGGCGATATATGACGCAAACGTTGAAGGAGAAAAGAGTTTATATGAACTTTCTAAATGTAGAAGCGTGTTGCTATTTTTGAGCTTGTTTTCCCGGGAAAATATTGTAGACTTAATTTGTTTTCATCATTAGGAATAATTGGAATGATTCATGGAATGGTACGAAGGTGTGAAATTAGTCAGCGAGAATCTGAGTCAGATTTAATGGAATCGTGTGAATGACGATATACAGTCGTTCAAGAAAGTATTTGAAATTTGTGAAATAATAATCTGATGTTGGAATTTACGAGCATTAGAGTATATTAGAATATTGGAATTTTTGGGTGATAGAATATTAGAGTATTGCAATTTTTGGGTATTAGAATATTAGAATCTTGCACTTTTGAAGCATTAGAATATTAGAATCTTGTAATTTTGCAGCATTAGAATATTAGAATATTGCAATTTTCGAGCATTAGAATATTAGAATCTTGCACTTTTGAAGCATTAGAATATTAGAATCTTGTAATTTTGAGGCATTAGAATATTAGAATAATGGAATTTTTGAGTATTGCAGTTTTGGGTATTAGAATATTAGAATATTGCAATTTTCGAGCATTAGAATATTAGAATCTTGCACTTTTGAAACATTAGAATATTAGAATCTTGTAATTTTGAGACATTAGAATATTAGAATATTGGAATTTTTAAATATTGCAGTTTTGGGTATTAGAATATTAGAATATTGCAATTTTCGAGCATTAGAATATTAGAATCTTGCACTTTTGAAACATTAGAGCTATTAAAATCTTGCAATTTTGAGGCATTAGAGTATTAGAATACTGCAATTTTGGGGTATTAAAGCATTGGAATATTGAAATTTTTGGGTATTAGAATATTGCAATATTCGAGCATTAGAACATTAGAACATTGCAATTTTCGAGTATTAGAAAAATTTCTAATTCCTCTTACATGTGAATACTTTCATTCACCGATGTACTAATTACTATTTACCTATCATAGTACATAAACTATTAAATACCTCATAAACATCTTCCAATCATCATTCTAATTCACTGTTCCCAATCATCATCATCTCTGATGTCTTCAATTTCAATACATAGGGGAACCAGTTTGTCCAACCATCGAACGATTATCAGCCACTTCGTTAAACCTCGACGATATCTTATCAGAAATCCTGTCTGATATTGATTTATTATCAAATTTCAGGGCACTTTGAGGATACGAAGGCAACGCCTCTAAAATACGAGGTGGATGTTTCTTCACCGTTTGGTTGAGAAAGGAACCTTTGTTGAGCGAGTTTTCTTCTGCCATCCAACCAGGACGACTAGTTCTACCGGTTGGTAGATTTTGGCTAGGTTTGTAATTATCCATTTCGCCAATTACCGGTGTGCTTGTTTGCAGATTTAAAGCGTTCAATTGGAGATGACCAGCACCGATTGGTATGCAATCTTCAGAACCACCTGACTTACTGATGCGATTACTTGGCTCTGTAAGGTGATTATGTCACTTTTCTATTGTCTTAAATCTCGTGTTACACAGAGTAGGATATTATTTTAAATAATTTTCTGACAGAAATTTCGTCTAAACCGATGATATCGAAGAATAAGAAATAAATTTCCATCTTGAATAATTAAAAACTTAATTAGTTGTTTGAAACTAACAGGGAAAATAAAATTTTATTTAACTATAGTATATTAATAAATAATAATTTATAAAATTTTAAGAAAGACTTAATTTTTATTTATATTATATTAATATTTGAAATAAAAACTTTATTTCTTTAAATTGAATATTATTCGCTATCTTCAAATAATTTTCATTCTTTGAAAATATTTTCATTTACATATTGAAAATATGTATCAGAAGATTATTTAAAATAATCTACTCTTAAAAATTTTATGTCACAAGGGAAGTTATCTAATTAATTATATCAACAAATGATCAAAAGCAAATATACCTAAACTTACCGAAAGTCTTTGCTTGCCTAACATGAGCCAATAACTTGTCAATTCTACTCCGCCGGAAGTACGTGTCCACAATATCCAATTTCTTGGTATCCTCCTGCTCGCTGCTTTCCTCGTTATCAGCCTCATTCCCAATCTCATCCTCGTTATTCTTACTATTGTTATTAAGATCAGGCTTGGAAGGCACAATGGTGTAAGGCGTATTATCCTTTGGTACCAAGGAAGGTGGCGGAAGCGGTATGTGCAGGGAGACATCCGGTAACCTCCAACGTCCCAATTCGTCGCACCAAGTGGCAGCTGCTCTAACAGCAGCGACGTCGCGCAATGGACAACCCGGTCGAAGATGAGGAACCATCGAGTCGCATATTTGCGAGGTGAGTAATTCTCTTCGTAAAAGATCGCGTCGTTCAGCGTCCCAGGAAGCTTGGAGATCGGCGGCTTCCGCTTCCAGTTGCTTCACACGCTTCGCCATCCGCTTCAAAGCGTCCTCCGTTGACCTGGAAGAGAACATAAATTCATCGGTGCAGGAAGAAATTCTTTCTACATCGTCAATTTCAAAAATTCTCCTGCAATATATGGTAAAAGTTGGGTAAGTACCCGGGCAGATCCATTGGATAATTACCCGGTAATCATCCCCACCACCTAGGGAAATTCCCCTTGAAAAACTGGGAAGCTGGAGCAGTGAATAGTTTAATCTGATCTGAACTGGAATATTGAAAAGACACTTTTTGATTTTTGATTTTTTTTTAAATGAAACTTTTGCTAATGTAATAGTGAGATTCTTCTGATTAAAACGAGACCAAACACTATACTAGTTTGATCTAATTTTAATTAGAAGAAGAGTTTTAATTAGATTCTAATTTTAGAATTAAATTAAATTAGAATTTTAATTAGAAAGTTTCATTTAGCAGAAATAAAAAATAAGGTTTTATCGTTAAATTAATATTGTCTCAGAAATATATTTTTCTCGGTTCCCCAGATTCTTAGACCTCTCTGTCGTTTTCTAAATTCGGCAACATTCAAACGCTCAGTCCCAGCCGAAAAGACCCCCGTTTCATAACTGTCCGCTTTGGTTCCTGATTTCTGGGTAGTTATCCAATTTTTACTGTGCAAGACGGACCTAAGTTGCCCATAGACTTGGAAGACACTTCCATTGCCCTCCTGGGCGCTGGACTCCAAAGCCGAAGCAAGAGCTTCAAGTTTCTTCCTCCTCTTCTCTCTTCTTCTTCTCAGTTCCGTGTTCCCTTGTTCCTCTCCGCCGATGGTCAGCTTCTCCAACCTCTTCAGCACCTCTTGCATCGCTGCTTCCCGTTTCTTTCTTCGTCGCTCCTCTCGTTCCAGGTCCTGCTCGTCCATCGAAGTCGGAGGAACAGGCTTGGGGCTGATAGTCTTAATTGCACCAGCTTCGTAATGGATCTTAAGCGCCTCCAGTTCCTCTCGGAGCTTCTGAGCGGATAGATTAGAATCTTCGCATTCTTTCTTGAGCCTCTCGACCTCTTCCGCGTATTCGACCTCTTCCCTCTGCATCCTGGTCTCCTCGTCGTCGGTTTCATCCTTCACGGAGGAGATTATCTCTTTGACGATCGTTTGATCGTTCGATTCGAGCATCTTCTTTAATCGTTGCAATTCTAATTGATACTGTCTTAGCAGAGCGTCCTTCGGGTCCTCGTTGATCACAGGCTTGTTTTTTATGCATCGCGCTCTGGCCGCGTATCGCAGGGTGCTCAGCGTCTCTTCGGCGTCGGCGTCGCTGGGACTTACGCAGGCAATCATCAGGGTTCTCGCGTTGCCGCCCAGACTGTCCCTTAGGAGTCTTGTCAGCTTGCTGTCTCTGAAAATGAATATTTAATTAATTGTTAATGATTTTTTATCTTATTCTTCATCCCCTGTTGGACAGGTATATGGATACCTGATATGAACAACATTGTAATTGGTTTATTTAGCGATTTACAATTTTTGGACTCTATTTTTTATGCCTGCTGTTTGTATTTGTTAGTGTAATAAGAATTTAAGAAGGATAACGTATACAGCTGTGAATCTCTATGCAATATAATGAGTTTTTTAAATTTTGGGCGGCGGCAGACCATGGAGAGAGCCACAATTTTTATTGAATTTTGTATTTCATATTATTTTCATTCTCTAAATTCGATACTGTTTCTTTAAAAATTATTAAATAATACTTTATAATTAAAATTATAGTCTATTATATAAGAAACTCATATTATATTTTCTACCTTTTTAGGAAAAGGGTTAATCATTATACAGGAGTCAATAATTGTATACGTTATCCTATAATTTTTTTCTTATTTTTCAAGGAAAATTTGTTGATCAAGGACGTGAAATAATTTTTAAAAAGAATTCTTCAATTGTAGATAAAAATGAGAAATTAAACTTTACCATTTAAATCAAAATTTGTACGAAGTAACAAACTATTGGAGATAATCCATTCTTTATCAATACCTATAATGTTTTTAAGATCATATATCAGAAAATGTAAATTTACAATGTTTCATCTTTGGCATAATAAACAGTTTCTAAGTATAGATCCCAGACAGCAAAAAGATAATTTTTTAAAATTCCTTTGTAACAATAGTTACAATATTATTTAAATCAGGTGTATCGATAATACCTATAGGGCACGTGTCTTCCTTGGCCAGCCGCCAAAGCGCTAATTACATTCCCCAGCGCCGAAAGACTCAAATTAATACTGGCTGCTTCTTTCAGACGATCACCAGTGGCCCCGGTCCTCGCTTGCCTCTCGGACCCGGCCAGATCCACCAGGTGCAATCTACCCCTCTTCACCGTGTTCTCCGTCTTGCTGTCGTCGTTAATAGCCAACGTCTCCAAGGACAATGTAAGTACAGCATGACTTCTCGAACTGGCAGCGTTCATTTTCGTAGCCGCGGCAGCTCTTCTTCTGTCGCCCTGTTCCACCAGACGGGCGCATTCAGCGGCATCCTTAACGGTAACCTCTCTCAAACCACCAGCCACGTAAGTCCCTCGGCTAGGATCCTCCTTCAGTGTCAGAAGGTCGCCGATGCCGTCTTGGAGCAGGTCTCTCAGTCGCTCGTTGTAGATCTCCAGATAACTCAGCAGCGCCAGGTACCTCATCTCCGAGCTGGCCGTCGACGTCGCCTCGAAGATGTGGTCCAAGGTGCGTTCTATGAACCCTCGCATCGTGTGAGACTTCCCGCAGCCCGTCTGACCGTACGCGAACACCGTCCCGTTGTAACCGTCGAGAACAGCCTCCACGATCACGGAGCCCACGTTCTCGTACACGGTCTCCGTGCTGGCTTCCGGTCCGATGGCTGCGTCGAACTGGTACACCTTGCCGCTTCCGGTACCACCGGTTGGACCCTCCAGGGTGCAGCATTTCGACGGTGAGTCGATCGTTATTACGTTCTATAAATATGAGGATTAATTAATTTTGAAGATGAAGCACTGTTCACTATTAGAATAAGTCCCATGAGAACAATGCAGTCTGATTGGTCGCGACCCATTTTTTTTATTTATTAATAGTATTATTGCTTCTTTATTGGCTCTCGAAGAAAATTTAATTTAACAAATTTTAGCATTTTCTTTTATAAATCATTCATCTTATTTAAATTTGAAATCTTTTTGCGATTGAACATTTTAGCATTTTCTTTTATAAATCATTCATCTTATTTAAATTTGAAATCTTTTATTTTTTTGCATCTACTAATTAGGCTAGTGTAAAACTTAATTAGGAAAATTAAATTAAAAAATTTGTAGCATTTTCTTCTATAAATCATTCATCTTATTTAATTTTTATTTCTTATTTAAATTTGAAATCTTTTTTTTCACATCTATAATACTAATTAGGCTCGTGTAAAATTAGGAAGGGGGAGGGTGCTTAGTGAGCAATAGATGCGGTGAACTCTCGCTATATTGCCAAAACTCGCCCAATTGACAATATAGCGATAGTGTACTGTATTTGCAAAAAGAGTTAAATTTTGAATTGTTTTTAGATATTTTTTTTCAAAGGAATTATACAAATTAAAATTTATCAACGTTATCACCTTGAGATACATTCAATTTGAATGGCTTTTTCCACAGTTATTATGATAGTTATTCAATTGCATTCTGAGAAATGTTGTGCAACGTTGCAATAACATCGAACACATTAGCAAAAACGTGTTCATTATTTGTGGCATCGCTTTACTGATCGTTTATACCTTCTATCGATTCGGTTTCGTAGAAATACTTGAAAGGCGCTGGCAATTCGAAACTTTATTCTTTTTTAACTCCTTCGTGGCCTTGGCGTTTTGTAATTTTACGTTTCTTTTTTTTTATGTAAAGCAGAATTACTGCTTGCAATAAAAGCTAATGATTTGACGGTTTAACTAGGACGCTGGGGTCATTGAAGATCTCATTGAAATATATCTCATGTATTATTTTTCACGATATTTATTTTTATTTCTCTTCGATTATTATTTTCGTTCGTTCGGTTGAAACTGTACAAACACAACGATAATTTCTTATCGCCTCCGTTTAATGTTAATGATCATTTCTGCGGTTTTGTAAACACGTTACAAGCAGAAATGATCAATGTCTTGAAAAAATTGTTGGAGAGAGGAAACTTTGAAAAGTATTGTCCATTTTTAGCCAGATTTGTCAGTCAGCGTTTCTTCATGAAATGCGATATATCGTGTACCATGAGTCGTCATCAAATTTACTATTCCATAATATATTCATCAGGCAACAAGAAATGTAAGCACGCTAACTGATCGGTGCATACACGGTGCATAGATAGCGATATCGAACCACACATCGTTTTACCTACGTATGTACATTGTCGTTCAGAAGTATTAGCACAATTGTAATTTCGTTTTAATTATGTAATATTGCAGATTATGTAATAATTTTCCTGAATTACAGAATTTTCATATCTTGGATATTCCAGTACTTGAAAATTGCAATAATTTAAACATCAACAGTTTGGTAATTTTAATAACTGTAATATGTAACATTGCAAATTAAGTAAATAATAATTTTCCTGAGTTACTAAATTTTTATATCATGGATATTTTAATATTCTAATATTTTAATACTCGAAAATTGCAATAACTTAAATATTAATAGTTTAGTAACTTTAATATTAACAATTTAATAAATTTAGTAACTTATAATATTAAAATATCCAATGAAATGACTTATGAGCTAACATGTATATATACACTTGCAATAAAATCAGATTTCTCTAGGGAAAGTAAGAATTCTTAAAATATAATAGTAATATAAAAAATAATATAGTTTTCAATTATTAAACATTATACAATTTAGTATATAACTAAAAAGTACGAATAAAAATGTAAATATTAATTCAAATTTTCCCGCGCAATCGCCTGTGGTGGTCCGCCACAGGCCTATATATACGGGGCCTTCTCCCCTCCACCGTCATTCTCCTCGGGAGCGGCTAAGGAGGAGGATGGCAGTTCGGGACATCATTTTTCTCGGGAAAACCTGATTTGATCGCGAGTGTACATTCACATGCTTATCGATGGAACAGAATATATGCCAAATCGATGAAGCTACATATGTACGCTACTATACTGCCTTTCCTTTTTTGTTTGTGTTCATGCATGACGACATACCTGGTTGACACAGTGCCACGATGTAGTACACGTGTATATACGTTCATTTTGAATGTGATTTTACATGATTGCAATCGTGTGATTTATGAATAGAAATAAAAAAAGAAAAGCAAATACGTTTATTTATGAAAAGTATTACAGTATTTCTTGAGATTTATTTTGCATTCTTATCATGGGAGAAATTGTGTGTAGGGGTGGAATTAATTAGAACATAGGGGATATATTTTTTAAAATTTATTATAGTTTTGATAATTAAATTTATTGCCTCATAAATATTCAAGAGGCTTATTTTATTCAACGAGTTTGAATCTCAAATGCAATAAACTTAAATACAGTGACTTGCCAAAAATGTCTATTCAAGCAAATGAGGATTATTCTGTTATGGAAGTATAATTGTATACGTCGAACTGGAGATAGACAGTTCCAATTCGATAAAAGATTCAGTCTCTAGAACTAGTCTTTAGGAACATTTATAGCCATTCAAACCTTCAAGGACATGGTAAATTGCTATAAACAGTAATCATCCAAAAATCACTTATGTCCTTTATAAATGTATAAAACTAGTCTTAAAATCATTCTCGTTAATTTTAGTTAATTATCTAACATAAACTTGATTCTGATTGTCATGTATCTTCATTTTAACACGTTCGAACCCGCTCAGGTATATCTACCCATAACCGAGAGCTGCTCTCGTGTGCCCCGGGCTCCAATGTGTTAAAAATACTAATTAAATTGTGATCTTCAATAACCACGCAGACATTGGTACAAATTCAATAAATTAAATTGGGGAGATGAAATAGTAACATATTTCAAATAAAGAAGCAAGGTACAGTTGAATCCTCAAGGTGACAGATGTGATCCTGAAAAGTCATCCCGCAGGAAAATTGCAACGCCGATGCATGCCAGTCGTATGTTTTGATATGGTCGCTAGGCTACTACGCGTTCGATATGACGAGTTTTCCGTGCATTCAGGTGGATAAACAAAAGGAGAGAGAAGCGGAAGTGCAGGGTGCTTGCGTGCGAGATCAAGCCAGAGAGCATCGCTTGTCTCGTTCATTGTCCTTCGCCATTGCTCACGTACCCTGCATCCCTGTTGCAGTTCTCGCGCGTTCATCGGCCGACATCTCACGGCCACTTTCACGGACTCGGACATCTGGAAATAAAAGAAATTCGTTTCAGATCTCCAGCTTCCTTTTTTCCCTCTCCTTCCCATTAATTTTTCATTTGAAAAAGTAACCCTTCCAAATGCTAATCCTTTCCAAAATCTTAATCTATTTCAATTTATGGAACTGGATCCTAATTTTTTTTACATTCAAAAATTTTTATATTACTTTAATTTACCATCAGGATTACTCAACCGACAAAGAGTGATCCTAACGTCCCCTCAAATTAAACTATTCCTTATATTCTGTTCTAATATTAGATTAATTTTTTAAGTAATAAATACATTTTTAATTGAGTAGTAAAAATACCTAAATTCTACATAAAAGATTATCTTATTTTACAGATTTATTTAAAAAATGGATCAAAGAATTAAAATAATTTCAATATCAAAAATTAAAAAAAGCAATTGAAGTTAGGTTAGTATAACAAGTTAGAAAATCAATTGATTCATCCTTGAGAGAGTCTCTGATTCTTATCATAAATTCCATTGATTTCCTTTTGTACAATTTCGATATCGTTCTAGTGACGCCACTAAATATCGTGCTTTTCAGGAGCACGTTACTTTTTTTCTTTGCTCGTTAAGTATTCCATTCGTGTGTCGGAGGAATGTGTGTGTTGCCCTTGAACCCAGTTTGTTGAATCATCCCAAATTGTGGCGTGTCTGACCACGCACACGTTTCTTTGTACCGACTATAGATAAAAAGTTGATATATTTCAGTAAAAAATATTCGAATTTTATTATTTATGGATTGCAAGATGCAATAAGGACTTCTGGTAACTAAGACTTGTAATATAAGAACACGTGGATATTATTACATCTAATGATTCTAATAGCAGAGTAGAAGTAGTAATAAAATGAATGATAACATAATTTCGTTCATTAATTTTAATAGAGACAAGTTCATAGTAATTACTTTGATATATGACTTGTAAACCTAATATTTATCATGTATCTACAAATAGTACAAAATAAGCTTGAATCTATTCCGATAAGTGTTTACATTATGAATTTAAGTTAAAGATATCTACATCTTTCTCCAAATATCATGAATACCCACGCATGCCAAGTGGGCAGTGGGCAGAAGTGGGTCAAGTGTAAGAGGTTAAATGGTGGTACAGTATACATACATATAATAATCGTATACAGATGTCGGTAATGTGGTAGTAACGATAAAAATTATGGTACACCATAGGTATAGGGGTAACAATTTGTATGGTCATATATCACGGAGTGTTAGGAATGAAGTAGTTGGGCAGAAGTTAAATGCACGTAACATTCGTTTCGCGTACTTTACGTCGCGTTTACGCTTGGTATGTAGATGAATTCTGATCACGAAGGGTAGATAAGAAGACGGCCCCCTAACCGAGTAACTCTGCGATTTGACCTAGTAGAAAGAACACAGCTTAACTATAATCTTGTCTATAGTTGCAACTTAAACGCAGGTTTCTTTTTTATCAGTAAGATAAATTTAAAAAATTGTAAATATTGAAATAAATGGATTTTTATAACTATAATTATTTAATTAGAGTTCTTTTCTGCTTTGATGAAAGACAAACTTTGAGTTCCTTTACAAGTATATTAAAGCACACAATTTAAATAAAAATATTTTAAAAATTAAATAATATCTTCGCAAATGATTAATTGAAGAAAAATTTAATATAAAATGTAGGTGCATTCCAAGCTTCCTTTAATACTTACTTCAACGGAATATCCTATTTCTTTCTTGGCATATATGAATTATTCTTTAATCAAAAAGATAAATTGTTCTCATGTGTCGTGCGAGAATAATTTGTAACGTACAATGCACCGCATGACAAGCACACCTGAACTGACACGCAAGTTGTGAATTACTAACTCCTTCGTTGTCGACTTGCGCTCATTCGAAAAATCATAGATATGCGCGCGCATATGGTCTCTACGTTTGATTGGTCGTTGAGAGCAGTGCTGTAATATTCGGGGGCATAAAAGGGGCGCGTGATGTAATTAAATGTCTCGTTTGGTTTTCCTTATTGGTGCACACCAAGCAAGGGTAAATGGTATGTATGTACATGGACTACCTTATTTTATTTAGTATTAGTATATAGGCATATGCTTTACAATATGAAAGTGTGAATAATGTACACTAACGCCATCAACCGTTACCCATAAAAACCAATATGTGATGTCACCGACGTCCATTGTCGACCGTAAGAACTAAAATGTGACGACATATGCGTCTCCCTGTCCCCGAATATTGCGATTATGGTATAGAGTTAAAACATGTGCTTGCCTAACCAAATTTGTACATACTCGTCTCGTATATTCGTTTAAAACTTAACAGTAATCATTTGACATGGCAGGATACAATTTGAAAGATGCCGATGAGGTTAAGGAATACCTGAAAAATCTTCATATCGAGTATCAGTTCGGTTGTCTGAACGAAAAGAGACCTGATGGTAGGTATTGAAAAAGTTAACCATTCTAACCTCTTTATAATGCCTTCTACTTTTTAAACAGTTTGTCATCTACTGGGAGATTATAACGACGCTATTAAACAAGATTATAACGAAGCCGCGAAGATATATAAGGATAATTGTGACACAAGGAATTACAATAAAAGCTGTACCAAGTACGGTGAATATTCCTTTGCGGGTATGTTTATTCTAGATGGCGCGTAAGTAGTCCCGCCAAATTCAATCTTTAATATTTAATGAACTTAATGGATATAGGTAGAGGATGCGAGAAAAATATTCAGGAGGCATTCAAATATATGAGAAAGGGTTGTGAACTTAATGATCCAAAGGGTTGCCTAGATGCAGGTGCTTTTGCAGTGTCCGATGAAAAGTTAGAAAAATCAAGGGATACTCAAGTTTCACTTGGAATACAAATGTTAAGAAAAGCTTGCGATGCTAATGAGGAAAGGGCCTGTTTTTATTTATCCGGTATTTTCTTGAAAGGAATAGAAGGATTCGTTGAGAAAAATATGAAGGAGGCATATGTGTTTTCCTTGAAGTGTTGCGAGGCAGGAAATCCTTATGCTTGTGCTAATGTATCGATGATGCATAAAAACGGTGATGGTGTGCAGAAAAATGAGGAGATGGCAAAAGCATTTAAGACTAGATCCACTGAATTGTTAAAAGATATTAGAGAAGCTAAGAGACAGTTGAAATTTCAGCAAGGTATTAATCCTTAACTGAATCTTCGATATTAAATATTGTATTGTATAGTAGATGTATTGAAGTATTCAAGTTGTAATTAATACACAAATATGTATTGTTATTTATTTGTAATTAAAACACTATAAAATTTCGGCAGATTTGTATGTTGTCGAAAGAGAATATTATCTTATTGTAAGGTAATTAATATAGTAAGTTGAAACCATTATTCCTTATTTTTATTTTTCAATTTTAAAAACAGTACAGCTGGTATCTAGCCGCAAACCACTATGAACTTACTATAACGATCTAATGGTAAAAGTCTAAAATTAATTGAATTTACACAATAATTACAGATACAAAAAGACTGACATGCCTTTGATTTTTTGGGGTCCTAGACACCCCCGATGAAATTTGGTCTGCATGTATACAGCACAGTCGATATGATAATCGTATCTGTCTTACCAGTCTCTTTTCTTACCACATTTTGCACTAACAACTGACAGCAGTGATGACAAATTTTTTTATCTTTTAATTATTGTGTAGAGAAAATTATAATATATGTAATTCATGAAAAATAAATTTTATTACGAATAAAATTTCTTGTTTTTTAATAAGTTTGTATAATTAGTTTTTATATGCTTCTTATATATTTATGTAATTCTAATTACAAGGAATTGAATTTTAATTCTATTTATCAAATGTACTAATTAATATTTTGTCGGCGCGTAGAGTCACCGGGGTCGGTAACAACCCAAGATAATAGGTTGGTGCGCAGAAAGTGCTGGGGTCTCTGACACCCCACAATGATATTTTGACGCTCCGCAGAGAGAATCACCGGGGTTCCCGACACCCCAGATAACATTAGGTGGATGCGCAGAGGGAGCCACAGGGGTCCCTGACACCCCACGACCTACATGAAGTTAGCCGGAAGAGATAAAATAGGATTATTTTTAATTTTTTTATAGTGTATTTCGTTTGTAAATCGTTTGTGATTGATTATGTGTCTATTTTTAACATTTGTAACAAATTAATTCTTTTGTAATTAGCAATTTTATTTAAATCATGATGTGTAATTTTTTAAACAGATTTTATGATTACTAATAACTGTAATTGATTGGAAATCGTTTCTGATTTACAAATATATCATTTCCATTGTTTGTGGGTGAATAATTTCTTAATTATTTACAAGTTTGTTTTATAATAAATAATTGTAGTGCGCATGCGCTACAGATCCGGTCGTACCCATCACTACCTCGAACAAGTGAGTTTCACGATTTGTTCATTTTTCGGTCTTATATTTCGCTAGATCCGCTCAAACCCATCACTATCCTGAACAAGTGAGTTTCGCGATTTGTTCGTTTTTCGTTCTTATATTTCGCTAGATCCGCTCCAACCCATCACTATTCCGAACAAGTGAGTTTCGCGATTTGTTCGTTTTTCGTTCTTATATTTCGCTACTTACTTGGGGTCCCTGACACCCCAGATGCCATAATGTCGGTATGCAGAATCATCGGAGCTTCGGGGTCCTTAGAACGCCGGAAACAATATCATTTAGATATACAGAATTGTCGGTGCTCGGGGTCCTTAGAACCCCGAGACAATATAAATTAGATATGCAGAATCGTGGCGCTGGGGTCTTTAGAACCCCGAGACAATATAAATTAGATATGCAAAATCATCGGGGCTTGGGGTCTTTAGAACCCCGAGACAATATAATTTAGATATACAGAATCGTCGATGCTTGGGGTCTTCAGAACCCCGAGACAATATAATTTCGGTATACAGAATCGGCGGTGCTTGGGGTCTTTAGAACCCCGCGACAATATAATTTAGATATAGAGAATCGTCGATGCCCGGGGTCCTTAGAACCCCGATACACTATAAATTAGATATGCAGAATCGTTGGCGCTGGGGTCTTTAGAACCCCGAGACAATATAAATTAGATATGCAAAATCATCGGGGCTTGGGGTCTTTAGAACCCCGAGACAATATAATTTAGATATACATAATCGTCGATGCTTGGGGTCTTCAGAACCCCGAGACAATATAATTTCGGTATACAGAATCGGCGGTGCTGGGGTCTTTAGAACCCCGCGACAATATAATTTAGATATAGAGAATCGTCGATGCCCGGGGTCCTTAGAACCCCGATACACTATAAATTAGATATGTAGAATCGTCGGCGCTTGGGGTTCTTAGAACCCCATGACAGTTTAATTTTAGTATGCAGTATCCACAGTACTTCGGGGTCCTTAGAACCCCGCGGCGATAAAATTTTAGTAACCTACATGAAGCCAGCCGGAAGGAATAATAAAATATGATTATTTTTAATGTTTCTTAGTGTATTTCGTTTGTAAATCGTTTGTGATTGATTGTGTGTCTATTTTTAACATTTGTAACAAATTAATTCCTTTGTAATTAGCAATTTTATTTAAATCATGACGTGAGCCGAAACATTTTAGTAATTTTTAATAATAAACAGATTTTGTGACAACTGATAACTGTAATTGATTGGAAATCGTTTGTGATTTACAAATATATCATTTTCATTGTTTGTGGGTGAATAATTTCTTAATTATTTACAAGTTTGTTTTATACTTAATAATTGTAGCTCCTTAATACCCGAATATGATATCAAGTCCGTATGAAGAGGGCACAATAAATATAATTTTTTCTTAGAGTTTATTTAATTTACTTCATTTATCTTTTTTTGCTTATTAAATAAGCTCATCGGAGGGGAATAACATTTATGATTATATCCCTCTTCTGAGTCTCAGCCGAGGACCCCATTTATTTTACTTTTTCCAGTTATTTATATAATTTTATCCCTCATTATAGGCCAAGGCCATCTCGGTAGCCCTTACATCCCTGCATTCCTTCCACCCCAGCATTTCTTACATTGCTGCAACCCTTAAATATCATTTTTTTTTTTTTTTTTTTTTTTTTAACGTGGTGGAAATCTTCAGAAAGACACCTTCAGCCCCCCTGGGGAGGGGCCGGAGGTAGTGTGGGATTTTTACCCACTAAAACCACCACGGCGGCCTGCACTAGGGCGGTAAGGAGGGTGCTTTGACCCTCCGCCATGTGCCAAACTCCGCCGACATCGTGGGCCATACCCGATGCCGGCATTCCTCGGGCCGCGTGCAGTGGAGACCGGGGCCCCAGCCCCGAACCCCTGCAGAATTCCTTTACATCCCTCGTTCCGTTACATTTCAGCATCCCTTACATCCCTGCATTCGTTTTATCCCTATATTCCTTTCATCCCTACACTCCTTGCATATCTTCATCCCTTACATCCCTACATTCTATTCATCCTTACATCCCTTACATCGCTTCATCCCTTACATCCCTACATTCCTTACATCTCTTCATCCCTTAAATTCCTACATTCTTATCATTCCTACGTTCCTTATAATAAATATATTATAAAGACTGCTTGGAGTAAAGGTAAATAAAGGTACGTAAAGGTAAGTAAAGGTAAGTTAGAATTTCGCGAAAATTTCGAAAAACAGCGCCCCCTAGCGGCAAAAATGCGAACTAGAATTTCGATGTCGAATCAGCGCCATCTGGTTTCGGAAAAGGGAACTAAACCATGCACCCATTTTGGCCCTCTGGCGGCAAAAATGTGAACTAAAATTTCGATGTCGAATCAGCGCCATCTGGTTTCGGAAAAAGGAACTAAACCATGCTCCAATTTTGGCCCTCTGGCGGCAAAAATGTGAACTAAAATTTCGATGTCGAATCAGCGCCATCTGGTTTCGGAAAAAGGAACTAAACCATGCTCCAATTTTGGCCCTCTGGCGGCAAAAATGTGAACTAAAATTTCGATTTTGAATCAGCGCCATCTGGTTTCGGAAAAAGGAACTAAACCATGCTCCAATTTTGGCCCTCTGGCGACAAAAATGTGAACTAAAATTTCGATGTCGAATCAGCGCCCTCTGGTGGCGAAGAAAGGAACTAAATTTGAATAAAATCGCGGGCCTTATAGCCGCAAAAATTTCAGGGAGGTACTGGGATGTATGGAATGCAGGAATATAAGTGATACAGAGATGTAAAGGATACAGGCATGTAAGGAATGCAGGGATGTAAGGGAAGCGCAGTTGTAAGAGATGCAGAGATGTAAGGGATGAAGAGATGTAAAGAATGTCGGGATGTAAGGAATGTAGGGATGGAAAGAATGTATGGATGAAAAGAATGTAGGGTTGAAGAGAATGTAGGGATAAAAAGAATGTAGGGCTGAAGAGAATGTATGGATAAAAAGAATGTACGGATGAAAATAATTATAAATAATATATAAAAATATATGAAATCATTTATCTTTCTTTATGAGCTTAGACCTACGCTCCCTAACTATTTATTATCCTACTCCTCTTTATGGACCAAGCCTCCCTTGGCAGATATTTATTTCTTCATTCGCTTTATGAGCCTCGCAAGGACTACCACTAAATCACTGTATCTCCGTATCCCTTGTGCTTAATAAAATAGCAATAGATACAAATAGAATCATTTATTTAATCTTACACAATGTAAAATATAAATATTCTCACTCTTTCTTTTTTCTTTGATCGACAGCGTTATATCTTAGAAACATGTAATAATAAAGTATCCAAGAATAAAGTACTCCTGTCGCGCAATATATGGATGTAATTGCTAAAGGTAGGAATGGTAGTTTGTCGCCAAATATTAACTTATGCAATACTGTTTCATATACCGTTAATATTGGCAAAATAATCACATATATATATTCATGAAAATAAAGCAACTGCTGTTTAAACTTTCTGGAGAGAGTTAAAAACGATGCGACCATGTATGTTAGAAGTAATAATATTTTCAATGGAGTTAAATTTGTAGGATAAAGCAATGGTAGCAGGGCAGTGTGTCCAGCACTGCTTAAAATTAAAAAAATTCTAGCATCATCTTTATCAGTCACAGCCAGAACACTGAAACATATATAACAATTGTATTAGACTGAAATAAGATAACGAGCTAATATGTATTTCTTCTTACCACAATGGAATGATAGCAGTTAAAATAGCTTTCTCGTGTACATGCCAACCAAATATGAAGGAGCATAAAGCACAAAGTATTAAGCTCCTCACAAATTGTTTCAGATTTGTGCTATAATCTTTTTTGAAAAAGAGGCAGTATAATGTAGGCTGCAATTTGTACAACGTTTAAATACCATGATCAGCAAATGTTACAAAGGTTAAACAATGTTCAAAACACCTACCAATATTGAAGATAATGTTAATAAAAATGTCACAAATGGAGTAGGTGTTGGTAACACTAAGAATGATTGCTCCTGTACTAAACCACCAGTCATTACTGCTAGTTTGGTGGTTGTTAACAAACCTAATTGTTTTAAAACTAGAGATAATAATTTATCTGCACCTATGTATAGTGCCCAAGCATTAGCAGCCCAGTAAGCATGTACTAAGCCTCTTTTAAATGGAAACAGTCTTGATAATACCTGAAACAGTTATTATTAGCTTCAGGAAAGAAGATAGTGAAGATATTATTTACCTGAGGTAACTGAGAAATAAACGGACCAAATGAAACTGCTAATGTGATTATAACTATACTTCCAAGCATAAATAAACGTTTAAAAAATTGATTACCATTCATACAGTATGATTTAAGTAACCAGATTACGAAGATTGGAGCAACATATAAATAGATATGTTTCAAATTCAACAACAATGCAAACCACAGAGTTCCTTGTAATACAGAAACCTGAAAAACAGTTTCTTTAAGTAAGTAAAATTAAGAGACATATTTCTATTTACCTGATCATTTATTTTAGAAACATTTGCAACAGCTAACAGGAAAATACCAAGTAGAAACCCATTATACTGAAAATGTATATGATCTACTACTAACAATCCCATGTTGCATAGTGATAAAATCACAAAAATAGCATAACTATCAAATGAAGAGCAGAATACTTTCCCAATCCTGAAATTTATAATATAAAATATACATAGATGGTATCTCTTTAATAAAGAATATTCAATTTTTGGCAACATACTCTTTCACTCCATAAGCAAATATAAAATCCAAGAATATAACAGTGCTTCTTTGAAAATAGATAGTATTTGATGATGCATAATTTAAGTTTTCTACTTTAAGCATCTCAGGATCAATAAATTGCGCTATACAACTTAGAATATATTCAAACCATGCAAACATTGGTGGATAATCCAATGTCCATTGTGATTTGGCATTTGTGTACCATTCTTTGACTGGTAAACTGTGTGTTATAGCAAGCCAGTTGCGGTGCACCTCAAAGTCTGTAGAGTGACTAAAAAATGAAATAACTTAACTACTGTAATAGTCAATTATTGTATATATAAGTACAGTATTGTTTAAACATGTAAAGAGACATACTATGTAGGTATTAAGAGCAGCTTGAGGCAAGTGATCAGAGTAAAGACACGAAAAACTATTCTATTTGCATTGTAATTTGTAGATGGAAGATCTATTTTTTTCGCCTTTTTTGATGTAGAAACATGTTTATTATCCATAGTATTTGTCGTTGATATAATGCGTTTCACGTGGCATCTTCTAACGCATTCCTGTGACTACAAATACGAAAAGACTGGATATGCATTTTTTCTCGAAACAAGGGGTCCCAGAAACCCCAAGCTGAGATTACATCTTATAAAACAATTTAAATTTTTCCCGCGTTTTGGGATATGGTGGCGTTGAGATGTTGGCACGCGACCTTATACATTGCTGCAATGGGAAAAGTGGGAGCCGTTAGCAGTCCATAGGCAAAGTCTTTATTAAAGGGTTACATCTGCATGCTATCACCATCAATATCACTAATTTCGCCCCTACAGGGACCGGTGCTTTTTGAGGGCTTATCTGCCCCCATGTTGCCCAACGAACACTATCGTCCACGCGCATTGGGGATCGGTTGGCAGCGCTGCCAACCCCATACTCCGCGCATTTTTAAATTTCTCCTTCTTTTCTTTTCCATACTTCTGTAAACTTATCTCTCCATACTGTTATCGTGGCCGGTGTATGTGTGTGTGTACGTGTGTGTATGTGTTAGTGTGGCCCCTTTTAGTCGCCTCTTACGACAGGCAGGGGATACCGTGGCCGTATTCTAAACCCCCCGAGCCATAGGGGGTTACATCTGCATGCAGAAAGCAATGACCGAAAAACCGGCGGGGCCATCAGGGCCCCTGACGTCGGAAGTGGGGTCTCCAAACACCTTTGCACCCGACCCAAGTAGAAGCTGGCACGATTTAAAAAACAAATAGGATCAAAGGGAGTGAAAATTGGATCTTTTCAGTTATCAGTTTGAGATGCAGTAAAAGAGTGACTGGTAAAACAGGCACGATTATCATACCGACTGTGCTCTCTGCATCTGGGGGATGCTTGGGACCCCTTAAATCATGCCCCCTGAAAACCAAGGCATGTCCAGTCTTCTACATCTGTAGTTACTGCTGTATGATAATCGTATGTAGGTAAATTGGCGCCTAGTTTATTTGCTGTCGGTATAATAGATTTCTGTATAAAACGCTTATTTTCAATTGTAAGAAGTTTAATCATTTTGCAAAATCTCTTTGTTTCTGATTTAAAAACTGATTATAATTAATCATGATTGATTAGTTAATTTAACAAATTGTTTCTCCAATCTGTAAAAAAGTAATTACTCTAATTTTAACTTTGAATCTTTTGTCCAATTAATACAAAAATCTTCATCGTTTATCTTTTTGATATGTATAACTCTTTTCATAAACCTACAAACGCACCTTTTAACATTTCTTTTCCATTGTCCTATTGTTTGAAATGCTAGCCTTCATTAAAGACCCCTGTGGGCAAATGTCATTAGGGGTTGATGTCGAATCGTCAATTCTTCCAGAAAGATTATTATAAGCAAATGTAACGTTATTATAATAAAATAAATAAAAATAAAAATATTTAATCTTAATTAATACTTATAATAAATACTCATAATATTTCATTTACACACTGGTGTTATCTAATTAATTAGAAAATTGAAATTTATCGTATTATCTTGTCTGATAATACTAATTATGAAATATGGAATTGATATGGTTGTAGATGTAGATTGTTCTTAGACACGTGATGTCCAGAGTTGTTTACTCAATTAGTATGCTTGATGGCCACTTCCTCTTATTGTACCCTAAGTATACTTTCTTTCTTAGAGAAGGATGATGATGTCTACCTTGTATTCTTAAAATTTCAATCGTTATTCGAATATAATCTACAGAACTATTTATTTCAATTGCTTTGATGGCTAGTAGAAAGTTTTGTGAAATGCTTTCTTCCTATTATCGACAAGAGAAACGAGGTTCTAAAGGCATTTCGAGTAATGAACTTTTGTTTGTTCCATTAGCAGTTTACTGGAGTTAAGTATGCTAATTACAAGAATAAATTTTGTTAGTCTAGTCTGCACTTTATTTACATACCTTTTCTTGAAATGAATGTACGAAATAATGTAGAGTTTAAACAAATTTCAAATTATAAATTAATAGTCGGCTATATTTGATCTAATTTACTGGAGGGTCATTAAGAAATGCTTCTAAATTTAGCTAATGTGTAATCAGTAACTGTCCATTTCCATCAACATTCATATCTGTACTCAATTTTAATCGACGTACTTTTCCTTTATTTGAAATAAATATCTCTATCGTCAACTTCCGTTGTATCAGATAAATTGAATAACCTCGCTATCATTACTCATGTTTATCAAGAAAGTTCTTGCAGAAGTAATTATTTATTTTAAATCCTCCATAACTTGAGATCTACTGGATTTCTTCTTTATTCTAGAAATATATAGGGTGAACTCTTGAGAGAGGTAGAATTTTGCAAGGTGTATTTATATTAAAATAAATTGAATATTGAATGTTTTTTTATTTGCAAGAGTTGCTAATATTTTGAAAGTAATAATGGGACATTTGATTCTAAAATTCTAAAATTCTAAGATTCCAAAATTCTAAGATCCTAAAATTTCAAGATTCTAAAATTCTAAAATTCCAAGATAATAAAATTTAAAAATTTCAAGATCCTAATATTCCAAAATCTTAAAATTCTAAAATTCTAAGATAGTAAAGTTAAAAAATTCTAAGATTTAAAAATTCTAAGATCCTAAAATTTCAAGATTCTAAAATTCTAAAATTCTAAAATTCCAAGATAATAAAATTTAAAAATTTCAAGATCCTAAGATTTTAGAATTCTAAGATTCTAAAATCTAAGATCCTAATATTCCAAAATCTTAAAATTCAAAAATTCTAAGATACTAAAATTCCTGATAAATCAGAAATCTTTCATCTCCAAGGTTTCGCCAAATCTTGATTAAGATATAACAATTTTCGATATGTCTAAATTGTTTGAGACCTTGCAATAGGTAGTTTCAAACACTCATCGAGTTGTTTAAATGTTTCAAGTACCACCAAGTGTATTATTGATTACTCATCTCCGTCTCTCTTTGTCTCTCCCCTCTCTCAGTGGATCCCCTCCAACATTTTCGAGTCCTCCCACCCTTGCATTTGTCGATCATACTATGCATAAAACCGTGGTTTAAAGAGGTGGCCGGTTTATCAACCGACCAGAGCGACCATGAGGTGCTACCTGTTCACCTCGAGCTGCTCGCTCGCAGTTTTTTTCGCGTTCCTCAGCTTGGTGAGTTTCCTTATTCCACTTTTCAAAATTTTCCAAAGCACTCGATTGACATTCAACTTTTTATATTTTATCAGTTTCTTTACTTTTTCTTTTGTAAAATTAATCAATTTGGCAAATAAGCAGTTAAATTAATAATTTAATAATAAATACTGGATCAACAGTGATCCAAACTTATAAGGATGCAGTAACATAAGACAGGCATCCAAATTAGTTTAAAAAGATTTTATTTCAAACTTGTAAAAAGATAAGGGTCTGAAATTAAATTTAAATTGCCTCTATCTAAGATCCACTGTCCAATGGCTGATTATATAATTTATTATACGATAGTCACCTTTCTTATTTTTAATTTAATATCGATAAATTTCGTACTTTGGTATGATGATATTAAGAAGCTGTCAGGAGAGAAGTGAATCCGGTTTTCAAACACGTTTGTAACGTACAACACTTAGAAATTTGGTTCATGGGTTCCTATTAATTCTTTCCTTATGAAGAATATTCTTCTCTTCAAAATACTAACGAAAAAATTATGAAGATTCTATTGAAATATTATTAAACATAGATAGGAGGAATTTAATTTGCCTTGAACGATTGAACTCTATGAATCTCCATACTGGGACTGACTACTTTCACCATGAACTCTCACTGAGACTCCATAATATTTTAGTATTTTAAAATGTACAATTTATTTTCAAACATCCACAATAAATAAAAGATATATCTTTTTTTACAATTATACTACTTGTATTATATTAATAAATTATGGAATTTCAATTTAATTTAATTTATTTACAAGAATCCATCCTCTATAATTTTGACATTGTTTAAATATAAAATTATTAAAAATTTCAGTATTCCAAAGTATACAATTTATTTTTAAATATCTATAATAAAAATTAATATCTTTCTTTTACAATTACATTATTTATATTATTATTCTTTCATGAATCTCAATTTAATTAAATTTATTAACTAGTATTCACCCTTTTTCAATATAAAATTATTAAAAATTACCAATGTACCCTATTACCACAGGATAGTTAAGTTACAAAATTTCAATAAACACAGTATCTTCAGAAGGGAAGATAGGATAGTGTGAAACGCAATTAGATACTGTTATTCTAGAACCGGCACATGGTCATTTAGCGCTCCTGATAATTGTGCAGGTGGCTGGTGATGAACAATCATACACGGTTAAAGATGTAGGAGTCTACTATGAATCACTGTGCCCCGATAGCATACGATTCATCAAGAATCAATTGGTACCAGCGTACGACACCGTGAAGGATCACATCCGAGTTACACTTGTTCCTTATGGCAAAGCTTCGGTGAGAAATATTTTTAATAAAAATAACTCTGTCTATCAACTCTTTGTTACCTAATAAAAATAATATTTGGAAGCTTCGTTTAACAAACACTGAGAAATTATTAATTTTCAAATTGCAATTTCCATCACCCGCTGGAAATTAAATTTGAGAATTTTCAGACTTTTGTTCTTCTATCTATTAACTCTTTGTTACCTAATAAAAATAATATTTGGAAGCTTCGTTTAGCACACACTGAGAAATTATTAATTTTCAAATTGTAATTTCCATCACCCGCTGGAAATTAAATTTTAGAATTTTATTTAAAGTAAAATTTGTAAATTTGCAGCCTCGTGTTTTCTATAATTTTGTTGACAATTATCTAGCATATTTGAGAAATAATTTATACATAATTAAATGTGTAGCACAAACGGAACGCTAAAACCGGAGATTGGGAATTTGCTTGCCAGCACGGACCTACAGAATGCCAAGGAAACATGGCTCAAGCTTGTGCCTTACACGAGATTCAAAACAAGGAACCGGCTGAAAAGGTTCAACAACTCAGCGTATCTCTTGTTGGTTGTGTAATGTCAGCGAGAAATCCAGCGTCGTCCGTGCCACAGGTAATTTGTTTTTCTCTCGGATGAAAAGTAACATCCTGAAGGTAATTATTGGTCACAGAAGGCTGGTTTCCCTTAGCCAGGGAAATGCGTTCCTTGCGTAATTTCGAGGCTGGGAGATAGCTATCAGTTAATTGACGGTCGTTTACATGTTGCATAGTTAATTAGAAATTAGAAAAATAACTTTGGAATTTTTTAATTGCTGATTGAAAGTATTCAATTTTTCAGAGGATGTAAATATAACTTTCAATTTCATATTCTAATTTTTAGAAAGTAAAAATGGTGAAAAATGGTGGAGTTATTCGCTAATTTCTAAGCTTTTATGTAATCTATACTGTTAGGACATTGATGGGTATATTGCAAACATCATTTTTTATTACACATGCAAAATTTATGTTAATATCTATTCAATGTTTTGAGATATTTAATGTATTAGTATCACCCCTGGTCTACCCTTCCTCTATACCCAGGGTCGCGAAAATATTTGCTCGAGTAAAGGGGGTTGCCAAATGGATAATTAATATTCTAAAATTCTAAGATTCCAAGATATTAAGATTCTAAAATTCTAAAATTCTAAAATTCCAAAATTCTAAGATTCTAAAATTTTAAGATTTTAAGATCCTAAAATTCTAAAATTCTAAGATTCTAAAATTCTCAAATTCTAAAATATCTATTCAATATTTTGAAATATTTAGCGTGTTACTACCACCCCCGATCTACCCCTCCTTTATACCCAGGGTCGCGAAAATATTTCCTGAAGTAATTGGAAATGTTTAAAAACCCTTGATTTAGCACCCCCTGGAACATAATTAATTTTCAAATTGCAATTTCCATCTAATAGACTAATATAAAATTACGAATGGTGTCTTCTGATTTGCTCAAAATATTAATTAATGTTCCAGTGTGCCCAGAGTGTAGGACTTAGCCAGGAAACTAAAACGAGCATCGACCAATGCATCAGTGGTTCTAAATCGAAAGAGCTGTTGGTTGTAAATGGCGAGAAAACAGAAGCCTTGAACCCTTCCCTCACTTTCGTTCCAACGATCACTATTAACGGAGTAAGTAATTAATTAAATCGAAGAATCTTAAATAAAAAGCCTTCATCATTCCTCCTTCTTTTTTTTTAGGTGACCTCGAAGGAGATTCAAAATAAGGCGTTGAGTAATTTCTTGAAACTTATCTGTGACATGATACCTCAGGACTCGCGTCCAGATAAATGCAGCACTGCCTAAAAATTGACACTAATAAATTGTTTAGAATTAACATTAAATTTGATGCAATGAATTTGGAACATAAGAGTGTGAAAGAATAAAAGAAAATTGAGATTAAGATTAAATAAAACGATTAAATTCTTTTTTAAAGAAGAAAGTTGAAACCAACGGTAAAATCCTAAAAATCCAGGTAAAAGTACTGATAATTATAATCAGAATCATTGTATTTAATGATTAATATATACAAGCATCTATGTACAAAAATATATCTGATTCCATCTGTGTATAAAAATCAAGTATAAAAAGATGGGAACAAGTCTTTGGAAGTAGAGTAAACCTCTGTATAACATAATGAATATAAAAGTAGTTAATACATGTTTTCGTCTTATAATGTTAAATAAACATTGCGTTATACAGAGGTGTACCTTATGGCAACAAGTTGCCATGAGATCGATTTGAGTATTCTTCAGAATTCATCTCAACCATCGATGAATACAGCATCATCCAGGTTGCTCAGTTCGAGAAATTGTTGCTCGATGTCGGAGCCTAGCTCCTGGAAATCAGGAACCTCATCTTCCACTTGGTATCCTGAAAAATAATATCACAATGTAGGTATTTGGAATTTTGGAAAATATCAAAATTCTCGACAAAAAAATGTCGAAGTTCCTATTTCCTTAATTTCTAATCCAAAATAAAAAAGGCACATATGGTAATGTTTCATGGGAGGAACGATTATAGGTAAAGGGTTGAGGGGTGGAACCCCTCTCTAAAAATAGACACTCATGAAATCATTAAATTCATTTAAAGATTGAAAGTAACTAATTGAAGCCTAAATAATGACACGTTATAAATAAAAAAGACAGATATGGTAATGTTTCATGGGAGGAACGATTATAGGTAAAGGGTTGAGGGGTGGAACCCCTCTCTAAAAATAGACACTCACGAAATCATTAAAATTCATTTAAAGATTGAAAGTAACTGATTGAAGCCTAAATAATGACACGTTATGGGTAAATAAGACACATATGGTAATGTTTCATAGCAAGGCTGGTTATAGGTAAAGGGTTAAGGAGTGAAACCCCCTTCTACTGAAAATAGACACTCATGAAATAATTAAAATTAAAAAAGTAATAACATTGTATAACTTTTCATATACATAGGTCATTAACCCTTTGGGGGTGGAGTATTCTTAAGCTTGCGCAGAGTATCATTAATTTTAATTAAATCCTTCCCTTCCATATATTATAAATCTTTAATGTCTACATTTATAGCTGAGTTTTATGTCAAAAATATAATGTAAAGAGAAAGAAACAGGAGTAGCTACCCTTATAGATCTATAACAAGTATCTGCTCTTATTACTCCATCTGTTATTCTTTCGAGTATTCTTTTTGGTCAGGAAAGGGTTTTGGTGATCTAAGAAGGATGATCAATATGGTATTTTCGTTCGGATAAAAATCGCGGCCGCGAGGGCTGGAATTTAAAAGGGCGCGCGTGTGTCGCACGTGGCAAGTAGTGTCGTATGTTTTGGCGCGTGCGTACGTGCGTGTGCTCCAGCGAAAAAAGCGTGGAATATTATTTTAAGACTCGGTGTGGGGTAAACGCGTAAAGCGGCGAACCTCCTCTGAGATTAAGCATGGAGGACCTAGCGTACTGTCATCATCGGCTTCGTTACCATTCAACGGGACAGAAAAAGGCAGCACGCGCGGACCCTGTACAATAATCATTTCTAAATGAACAACTTCTCTCCTTTTTTTTTTAAGTCACTTCTGGTCATTGAAGTAATTAGAATTTTTCGATGGAGAGGGGTAAGTTCCTGAGTTGTTAACAGTGATGAGGATTTTTTATTTTAAAAGGGGATCTTAGAAATTTGGAATTTTGGAATTTTGGAATTTGGGAATATTAGAATTTTAGGAACTTAATATCTTGAAATTGTGGAATTTTGAAGTATTAGAAATTTGGAACTTTAAAATCATAGAATTTTGGAATATGAGAATTTTAGGACTCTAAAAGCTTGGAATTTGGGAACTTTGGAATATTGGAATTGTAGACCTTAAAAACTTGAAATTTGGGAACTTTTAAATATTAGAATCTTAGGACCCTTAAATCTTGGAAAATTAGAATCTTAGAATCTTACAATCTTGGAATTTGGGAATTTTGGAATATCAGAAGTTTAGAACCTTAAAAATTTGAAATTTGGGAATTTTTGAGTATAGAATTTTAGGATATTACACTCTTAGAACCTTAGGATTTTAGAGCCCTAAAATCTTGGACCCTTAGAATTTTTGAATATTAGAATTCTAGAACCTTAAAATCTTGGAACTTTGAAATTTTGTAATATTAGAATTTTAAAACTAAAATCTTAGAACCTTAAAATTTTAGAATATTAGAATTTTAGAAGCTTAAAATCTTAGAATTCTAAAATTCTAAAATCTTAAAATCTTGGAACTTTGAAATCTTGTAATATTAAAATTTTAAAATCCTAAAATCTTAAAGCTTTGCAATTTTACAATATTAAAATTTTAGAACCTTGAAACCTTAGATTTGTACAATTTCAAAATGCGAGAATCTTGAAGAGGCAAAAACATTCCTAAAACATTAACACTTTTTCTCTTACCTGTACCGTCCACGTGCGAGCTGACGTCGTCGATGAGAAAACGCTTCACCGACTCGATCGGCACGTACTCTTGATTACTGTCAAGGCTCATGGAAATCCTATCGACCTGACACAAATTCGTCTGGAACAGGTCCGCGTCCTCGTCCGGATAAGAATCCGAAGTCTTATACGTCCGATAATTCGATTCCCCGTGGAACGGGAGTGACGTATGCGGTTGCTGATGTTTCGACGCGTTCGAAATCGGATCTTGTCGCGACGAGCAGCTGGAATTATTACCAATCGCGGCTGCTTTATTCTCGGACGTCAACGAGAGATTGGACAGAGGAGTCGTTGGCTCTGTATGGTTCTTCACGTGCTTTCGAAGGCTCGATGGATCCGTGTATCGTTTCCCGCAACCGCTCACCTGACACGCGTACGGTTTCTGCAAACATCCATCATAAAACCACCTCTTCTAATCATTAAATTCTACATTTTCCTATTTCTTAGCCACTGAACGGGAAAAAGGATGATTTTTGTTAAATTTTGTTAACGCGATAGACAAACTAGATCTTTCGGACCTGATTTTAAATTCTTCTGGGCTTTCAAAAAATCTGAAAAAATTCTGAGATATTTATTAAAGCTTCTAATTTAATATACAAGTGACATTTAAGCGAAATATTTAAATCTTCTTGAAATAAAAATAAAAACTCGCCTGGAACTCAGCGAGGGTTGATTCAAAATGGCTTATTCTTAACGAATGATCGCTTTCCGCTATAGTAATCATCGAATGAAATGATAAATTTACCGTGTCGTAGTGTGTCCTCTGATGTTTCGCACGATCACTGCTGTTACTGAACGCTTTCGTACAACCGCGATGCTGGCAAGCGTACGGTCGCTCCCCTGTGTGCGATCTCTGATGGATTTTTAAATTTTCCAGCCTTGAAAATGCCTTCTTGCAGCCAGTAAACTATGAAAATAATTGCATTCGATCAATAATAAAATTTCAAATGAAAAATAAAAATTGTTTAACCCTTTGACTGCTGAGTACTCTAGACTTAAACATTCTATGCATAATTATTTCTCTTGGATTAATTATTAATTACTAATTTACTAATTACTAATATGTACTAATTGGATTAGTATGTAATTAATTAGATACATTGATAACTTTTATTTGATCCTGATTAAGATATACAAGAAACAAACTATGGACAGCTGACAGCTGTTCTGATGTTTAATAAAAATTTTATCAACACGTTGAACGCCATGGGGGGCTCCGCAATTTACACGTCCCTGAATAATTAATAGAAAACAATAGAGAAACATGAAATAGAAAGCTTGAAATTTGAAAATCATTCTTAGTAATTACAGTTTTAATACCAATTTCACTGTGGCGTTCAACATGTTAAATTTAGTACATGGAATTCTTACATAAGACACAATGTTATTTTCTATTGCTAGAAATTATTCTTTACTTAATTATACAACTCTAGTTCTGACTCTGATTCTTATTCTTATTCTCATTCTAAAGGAAAAGTGTTACTGCTTTTAAAGTGTCGAAAGTCTTCTGAAAATAGTGGGAATGAGGATAAGGACTGAGGTTCGAAGGGTCAAACGTATGATTCAGGGATGGCGAATAAGGAATTCAAATTAAAAATTTACTTATCTCAACTAAAACGCGTACTATCTTAACACCCTACTCATATCAATTTCAAATTATCATAATTAATCAATTCAATGGGAATTGCAAGAGAATTTTTAATTAAAAAAAAATTAACAGTTTAAATATTCTATAAAAATATTTGCTTAGCCTATGACGGTATGCAACACACATTTCACCTTTCATGTGTGAGTTCATAGCAATCAAAGGGTTAATACGTACCGGACACTTGTTCGGTTTCTCCCCGCTGTGCACTCTCATATGAATCAACAGCTTGTATCTGGCATTGAAGGGTCTGGCACGCGGACACCCTTGCCAGAGGCAGGCGAATTCGTCCTGTCCACCGGAATTCGCGAAACCATCACCCTCCTTGTCCTTATCCTTGTCCCTGTCCCTTTGAATCCTTCTGCCGTGCCCGTGGGAGTTCGAGGAGGAGGATTCCACGTGTCTTCTCTCGATATGCCGGACGAGACCCTCCTGTTCGGCGAAAGCGCAGCCGCAATCTATCCATCGGCACTGATACGTCGACGTCAAGTTGTCGTCCGTCGTTGAACAGTCTGGGGAAACAAGCGTGTCGTCGAACGTTTCAGACCCGTGTAAACATGGCCGGTCGGGGTTGGCTTGTTAGGGAACGTTTAGCAAGTGCCACTCGAGTGGTTTGTCCTTTTATAAATACGGATGTTTGTTTAGAACACTTTTGTAACAACGTTGCCCTCCTTCTGACTGGTAGGTGCAAGTGAAATGATTACTGGGATTGTTTGGGGATGTTGAGGATTCTCTTAAGTATGATTCATGTTGAGGAGGATTTGTTAGGTATGTTTAATATTGGGGAATTTTGGAAAGAAACAATTGGAGGTAAAGAAATTTGAATAGTTTCATTAGTGATGTTAAGGCTCATTTTTATGGTACCATCTTAACACACTACTCGTATCAATTTCAAATGATCAGAGTTATGTGAATTATAATAAGGTTAACAATTTAACGCTAGAACTACCAAACCAATCGAAATGACTGGTTTCAAGTTTCTTATTTTAAGTTTATCAAATAAAAATAATAAAATTATTCATTTTCATCCTTTATCTATTTAATTTCAATTTAGAAATAAGTGTGCATCATATGTTGGCAGTTCTAGTGTTAATAATAAATTTATTAGATATGTTTAACATTGTGGAGCTTTGATAAAAAATAATTAGAAGTAAAAGAATTTGTAAAGAGTTTGATTAGTTTCATGAGTGATGTTAAGGCTAATTTTTATAGTACCATCTTAACATCCTACTCATATCGACTCAAATTATCATAATTAATCAATTCAATGGGAATTGCAAAAATTATCAATTTTAATATTCTTTTTTCAAATAAACCAATTCCAATAAAAAAATTTCTAATTAAAAACAATTAACAATTTAAATATTCTTTTTTCTAATAAACCAATACCATCAAGAAAATTTCTAATTAAAAAGAAATTACCAATTTAAATATTCTTTTCTTAAATAAACCAATTCCAACTAGAAAATTCCTAATTAAAAAGAATTAACAATATAAGAATTCTTTTTTCAGATAAACCAATTAAATTGACATTAAAATGAAATTCCTCAAACTCACCATAAGATTTGCTTCTCTTTTCCACCTCAATGTTAGACTTAGACACCGGAACTCGTCTATCGGTGAGCATCAACCCCTCGTTCCTGGGCAGGACAACCTGGTTCCCGAATCCCTCGTTGAGCACCGTGTCATTAACAAAGTTCAACGTCGAAACGGTGGACTGTTGTCCGGAAACCAGGTGCCCGACCGCGTAACACGCACCATTGACATTGGAAAAGGGATCCTGAAGTTCGTCGAGATAAGTGGACGAGGGTGAGGAAGGAGACTCCACGTTGCACAAGAGCGACGTAGGATCGCCTCTGATCAAACTCAGATCGAACTCATCAGTGGCAGCCTGCATTGACCCGGTGAATCCTTGATCCTCTTGATTGTGCAGAATCAAAGGTAAGGACACTGACACGTCGTCCTGGTACTCCTGGTACTCCTGGTAACCTTGATACTCCGCGTAAACGGTGTTACTGAAGCTCCTGGAGAAGGAGAAGGCAGAACCGACGGGGGGCAGCCTCTGGGAGTTGTCCGCGTCATTGTGGATGATCCAGGTCGGTGTGGTTGCCTCGCTTCCGGTGCTCCCTGGAGATCTATTATCGGTCGAGTACTGTTGACAGGGATACTGGAACACCGTCGCGAGTTGTTCCCAATCGTTGTACTCCCTCGGACTGGAATTGTTCGGCAGAATGGGCGAGGGGACACCGTCCATCTGAGAAGCGAGCCAGCAAGGCTGCTGGCCGAGGGTGTTGATCGAGGCGATCGGGGCTAGATGCACACCGTTGAAGTCCTCCTGCTTGATACTCTTCGTACAGGCGCGTTGGACGTCCTCTTCGCCCCTGTTCACGTGGTAGTCCTCGAGGTGCATCGTCTGAAAATCGACGGGAGACGTTTAGTGGATGGACAGTGGATGTCGAGATATTGTTGCGGGCATGGAAAATCACGGTGTTTTTAAATCGAATCAGATTGGCTGCGAATGTTGTAACGATAGGTCACGCGTGACATTCGCAACGATAGTGCCGAAAGTGTCCGTATCTAGCGGAAGAAATTGGTCGATCGATTTAAAGCTTCCCTGGTTAAAGAAAAGAGCACTTTATGGAGGAAGATCGATGATTATTTATTTTTTAAATAAATAATTAAATAATTGATCTATCGGAAACACAATGGTCGTCACTGGTCACTTACGAGGAGATCAGTCGCACGGATCCAACTTTTTAAACAAGAACTCCACGTTTCGATGAAATGAATACTTTGAATGAGCTTATCACTTGGTCGGGAGCCGCGTGGCGCGCGGTCGCGTGATCTTAATCGCGAAGAGGAAGGAACGGAAGCAGGGAACGTGTCTGAACGTGATGCAACACGAGGTGACCCGAAGATAAGGCACTCTCGGATCCAGCTGAACACCCGTTCCCGCGTCTACGCGACGACTATCAACCGGGACAAGACATCGCGCCGTTTTTCCAGCAGACAACGCGACTAGCTGGAGCAGATCCCCTACCACCATTGCGCCCTACGTCTTGGAGGAGCAAGGGAAGAAGGCCTTCGAGAAGGGTACGCGCCGCCCACTCGCGTGGCCGTGCCTAGTTCCCCCTCGAGGGACAGAGATACATGCTCTTGGTGGCACTTGTGCATCGATGCACTTGTCGTTCTTCGCTCTTCAGACTTGATTCTTCTTCTTCTTCTTCTTCTTCGGGACGAGTCAGGGTGGCACATCTGCGCGCGCGTCTGTCGTCTCCCTTTTTCGTGCCTCTTCTTTCGAATTCGTATGTTTTTTCACCCGCGCCTAGATTCCTGGAACGATTATGCTCTGAATTGTTCCGAGGCTGACGAACCGATAGATTGCGTCATTTATTGGCTTGGGATTCCTTGGTTGATTCTTGAAACAGGGGTTGTTGAATAGAGATTTGGATTTATTTTGGAGGTTCTTTGATTAATTGTTGGATAGCTGATTAATTGGGGATTTATTAAATTTGGGGGGATTTGAATGACATCTTTAAAAAGTTTTGTGGTCATTATTCTTAAAATAAATCATGATGAGGGTTGTTTGAAATGGTGGTCGAGATGTTCGATGTCAGAAAGGGGTGAAATTATGTAGAATAAAATTGAATTTAAAAAATGACAGGATTCACCTTCCACCACCTTTAACATAAGAAGGTTGAAATCATTAATCTTAGATTTTTTATTTTAAATTTCAGAAATTATTGTGCTTTTGTTGAAATTTACATTGATTTTTGTCGTGATAAAGAATAATTCTATATGTTAATTTACGTTTCATTCTTTATTTATTTATTTTTCAACTGTATTTTTAATACCTAGAACTATCAAACCCATTAAAATGACTAATCCGAAATTTTTTATTTCAGATTCCAGAAATTATTAGGGTGCTTCTGTTGAAATTCAAAATGATTAATCTTAGATTTTTAATTTTAAATTCCAGAAATTATCAGGGTGCTTTTGTTGAAATTTAAAACAATTTATCTTAGATTTTTAATTTTAAATTCCAAAAATTATTAAGGTGCTTTTGTTGAAATTTAAAATGATTAATCTTAGATATATTATTTTAAATTCCAGAAATTATTAAGGTCCGTTTGTTAAAATTTACGTTAATTTTTGTCGCGATAAAGAATAATTCCATATCTAGTTTACGTTTCATCTTTTATTTATTTATTTTTCTACCATAAATAGTGCTCGTGAAATGCCGGTAGTTGTATTAATCATAGGGGTGGTTCACCGATACAAATCACAAGGGTTGAAAATCTCAACCCTAGCAATCAATTTGTAGCCGATAGGTGGTCATCGGCGCGCCTCTTTGAAAGTTGGTAGGAATATTCCAAGTCGAGGTGCAGCGAGAGACAAAAAACAGAGAAAGAGAGAGAGAGGTGGGGGTGCATAGGACGATCTTTCGTCGGTCGAACCCCGAGAATCGGGTGCAGGGACAAAAAACGTAAAACCAGCTGCCGCACACGCGTCACTTATTAACAACAGCTTCTTCGCGCGCACACATGAGGGCAAGTCGTTCACTCCTTCCTCCTATTACAGGCTACTATTATTTCACCGACCTCCCCGTTCTCCTCCTTTCATTGCCTTTCAAACTTTCACGCGAATGCGCCTGACATCTCTCGCTTCTTTTGATTATCAAATGAATCCGAAATAAAAACCTCTGTCGTCCAATAGCGCGAACATAATTGCCCCTGAAAACGGGCAATCGTGTTTGATTTCTGACCTGATCATGTTACAAGAGAATTCGGTTCAACTTCGCTCACGTATACTTTTGTATATATCCTCCATTGGATGTTTGTTGAAGTCATTAGAACCACCTCTTAAGTAAAATCATCAAGTAAATAGTATAAGAATTATTGTTTTCGTTTAAGGAACGCACGACGCGAAACGCATTGTTATGATTCCAGCACGATTCTTGCGCCTGCATTATACCCCCGTTCTCGGTTTCTTCCAAGCAATACGCACACAACCTCGTACACACGCATCCTCCTGTTCAAGACCTCTATGTACACACGCGTGTTGCATCTTGGCTGGTGCAGTCACGCGAGCACGCTCACGTGTTCACAGTTGCATCTTATGGTCGGGTTATACGTCATATTACGGGTAGATAAGTGATAGAGTGGCACATGTGGCATGCCAGCCCTCTATGCTTACATTATACATACTATGCCCGCTCTCGACCACGCTTTTTTGCCCGGGCACCTGTCAACTCCGTTCGTACCATAGTCACCGCATGTGTACGACTGCCATTAAAATAAATATACTGGAAAAAGGATTTCGATCGTACACCCCATACGGATGCAATAACAGACAGAGAACGAAGGAGAAAGGAGGAAAAAAAAAGGAGGGTTTAATCGGCGAACAGGAGAGGATTAAATGGGGGGGATTGGTTTTTCTAGATTTTGTAATTAATATTTCTTCATTCAATAGATGGATTTGGATGTTATTTTGAAACTTTACCAATTGTTCTTGGGATAGTAACTTTTGTTATAAATAATTTAGAATTCCTTTTATAACCTGGCACGAGTTCAAATTCTAGTATAGAAGTTAATAAACACTAGCCAGGATAATAGATATATCAGAATCATACTTCTTTCTAGAAATATTAATAAATTGATATCTTCTTTACTTTTAGTAATATTAATAATATTCTTTATATAGAATTATTTAACGATATTTAAAGAAATCATTCATTGGTATAGTATTTACTATACGGTTCATTTTAGAGTAAGTCGCATTTCTCAAATCGTAAATAAAGCGGTTGCCTGCGATGATAAACTGCGTTCGAGGAATGTATATTTTGGTTAGGAGGGTGTTTCAAACAAGGGAACTTTGGTGGTTAATTTGTATTCGGTGTTGTATAGCGGTACGAGTGGATAGAGAAGCGGTATTGGAAATAGTGCGGGACGCATCGCGTACGTACGTGTCGGCGTTCAGCATTCGGTCAAGCGACGTAAAAATAGAAAGACGTGCGCTCTGCATGTGACTTCGTATAATTAGGTACCGAACCCGAGAGCGATGGCGTTGTATATCCCATACGTTAGGAAGCTAGCACATTAGAGCTTGACACGGGTCCCGGCGATCTTTTTTTTCCTTCAAGTACGTTGACGAATCGGTTATAAAATATTATATAATATCTGTCGGAATGCAGCGTGACACTCGAGATGCGATTTATTGCTCTTCCATACTCGATTTAACGAAATATATTTGTAACGCTTGTATACTTATGTACACTTATAAATACAATGTATAAAAACGGGAAAATAGAATCTTTGTAGATTGCGATTTAAAGGTTAATTAACAACGCTAAGAGTACGTGGAGGTTAAATTGAAATTATACGAGTCGTTCCGTAATGAAAACGAATGCGACGTTAACGAATAATTTGTTTTCACGTTAACTGTACTTTCTTCCTCGATTATGGGAAAATGTTGTATACGACCACTGCTCCAAGCGATCGTTAGACAAATTATACCGGATTTGTCGTCGCATTTCTGATAAAAATTCATGCAATTCGGAACTTCGCCTGTAAATCCTTTAATAAGGCAACTTGGTTTAACTTCGACCACCCTAGATAGCTTTCCGACCTTGGTTTTGATTAAGGCAATCCAGGGGCTATCCTAAATAATTAGAAATTCATTTAGAATTTTATCACATCAGGATGGAACTTAGATAAACCCTACCTGGAAAAGTATAGCAAGATATCTTCCTGTAGGATCCCATTCCATAGCAACTATTCTTCCACCGACAGTAACGTAATCGTCGTCCGATGAGAAATTGACTTTTGTTAAGTCTATCAAGGGTACAGCCATTTTCACATCGTCAAAGGATGTTTTCTTGACGTCGAAGATGTTATCTTGTAAGGGTAGAGAGAAAACTGTAGCAGGATCTTCGGTGGACGCGAATAGAAGGGTTAACTTTGGGCCAAAACACGCAGCTGCTACACGACCGTTAGGTACTGTCCATTTATCCGCATGCCATGGGGTTGCGACTCCGGTATTCCAAATTCTATGAGTAATCATTAATGGAATTAAGAGAAAAAGAGAAATGAAAATATGCGTAAGGGAATGGAAGATATACCTGAATATTTTTCTACATGTAGCAGATAATAAATGAGAGCCACAGGATGACCACCGTGTAAAGCATAAACCACCACCTCCTACTCTCTTCAATGGAACACCTTCCTTCCTGGATATATCCCAGACAATCATACTGGTGTCTGCGGGTGAACAAGATACCAGCAGATCGCCCTGTGGGTGCCATGTAACATTTACTACAGGTGCATGATTGCGCTGTTTCAGAAACACTGCATGGCTAAGAGAGTTACTGGCTGCTCCTAATTCTATGGTCCAAACCAAAACACCTCCATGACAAGCTACCGCCAATTCCTTGCCAGCGAGAGGTCTCCAGCTTACGCAACAAACTGATTTCTGAGCACTGTGCCTCAATACTGGCACTACTGGTATTCCCTGAGAAAATATGCGTATACGGTCATCCCTTGTAACCACTGCCAACCGTGGACAATGAGGATGCCAGGAAATACATCTGATCTGAAAATTGACATAAGGAATGATACACAAGTTACTACTAAAATTAAATTGTCCATATTGATTTCTTACAAGAGATGCTTCCCAATCCCGCGTGTGAACAACATCTGCAACTGATCCAGTTCCAGAAGTAGGTAAAATTTCTCTTTGATATAATCCTTTGTCCAATAAATCTAACCCCTTCTTAAGTCTGAAATCAAAAACCAAATTAGTTTCCAATGTTAAATGAAACTAGTACATCAGTTTTATTATTAAAAACCTTGTGGCTATCCAATGTATAACTGTTGTAACTTCTTCTGGTTCTGCGGATGCAGCGACACAGATAGCTTCAACTAAGCCTTTTTCCCTCCAAATGCTAGCAAGTTTTTTAAAAATACTATCATGAACTGGCAAAAATAAATCATCAGCGCAAACGGTACGTGCCGTTTCACGCGTAGCTAGAATATCCGGGGCGATAGAAACTTCTGGATATTGTCGTATATATTTGAAAAAGGTTTGCAATTCATCTTGCAAATGTTCATAATTACAATAGCGCAAATTATTTCCTATAAACCCAACGGCTGCTTGCTCCTCAAAAGAAGGAGAATCGAAATCGTGCAACGATAATATTTTCAGCATGACTGACCTTTTTAATAATTACGTGTTCCTGTTTAACCTATAAGAGCACAACATAAAACAATGAAAGACAACATTCATTCAATTAAATATGACACAACAAATTTATTAAGCAATAAGTTTTTCATTAAAACATACAGAGATTGATACAATAATTAATTTGAAGTTATTTCAACATATTTCGCGATAAAGCCTCTCATACCTTGCACAACAGACGCCGGATAAAATGGCCACTGACAGTTTATATCAGTTGCTACGGTAACGGCCAATCGTTGTGCAGGATCGGCGCGGTACTGCGCATGCGTCGTTTAGCCGCCATTTAAAACATCTTACTCCTGAAAAGAAACTTTGAATTAATATTATTGCTGTAAACTTGCATGACACCCAATATCTGTACGTTTATGTATTACAGTTTAATTCAAGGAACATATACAAGTATTTTTTTCACGATAAAATCTTTCCAAAGTGAAGAAATATAAGAAAGAATTGAACGCGCGGCGGGATGCATTGAATACGACAGAGACAGAGGTAGGGGATCGTCGCTAGCAGGGTGGGGACCAAAAGGGAGGGGTGAGGTGGGGACAGCAGCAGTATGCGGTCGCTATTCGAGCGGCGTAGATTACGTATTAGAATTGTCTTCTGCTACGGGCAGGCCTCGTTCGTCGGTTCATTTCGTTGTAAAAGCTATTTATCTCGCGAAGACTAGCAACGCGGCACACACTTGTCGGCGGACAATTGATAAAATGCTACCGCGAAGGTAGTGGCAAGATCTGTCACGATCAACATGATTTCGGTGGAGCTTTCGTTCTAGAAAGTCGGCCGAGATCGCTGGGGAGACGAGAGACAGAAGGGAGGAGGACCAGCTCGGTCTTCGCAAGAGATGGGCAAGAAGGGTTCTAAGCGAAAAACTCGATGGCGAACTCTAAGCATTGGTGGTGAGTTTTAATTGCGAATAAAAATCATTTACCAAACGTAAATCGCTTTCCCAAACCGTTCGTTCCTTAATGATACTTCTTTCAACTGCATTTAATGGTCGCATGTTCATGACTAATCGTTGTTGATCTATTACCAGAAATAAACCCTGTTACCGTAATACCCATCGTAGGCATTTGGATGTGTGTTGAACGTAGACAACCGATCAGGTATTGCCATTTTGCCGTCTATGTAGTATCGAACGTGCATCTCAGCCACCATCGTGGCCACGACTCGCTCCGTTTACAACCCCGCGTATACTCTTCAACGAATCACGTACACAAGTATCATTTAAAGAAATACTTTCACGCCAGGTGCTCGTATTTATCGCCTGTCCCGTCCTCTTTGCCCGATAACCGAAAAAATGGCACCGCGTACCCGTGTCACGAGATAAACAAGGGCACGAGATGATTGTCGCGTAGATGAACGAGGTTACAGTGAGCCGTTTCATCCGGTGACAGTGCGCGATACTACGAGCGGAATTTCGTCGTTTCTGTCTAGGACCGTTTCCCCAGCCGGGCATCGATCCGTGGCACCCTCCATGATTTTCCTTCGTCGAAATGTGTCTAGCTAAAGCAAGTGCTTTACACGCGACCTTACCTATGTCTAGGCTGTTTCTCGTGGAAAGCCCGTCTCTCGTTACCGGTGTATCTCGCTCGTCGATGACCCGTTTCACTATTACGCTCTGCTTCCATCTATACCCGGCCTAGTGACATATCTAGCGTAAACTCGAACGGAAAAATTGCATACTTTATTTCATACTTCCGCATGCTTTCTTATAACCTCGTCTGTAATACTTTTCGAACAATATTTCGCGTTTACCGTCGGTAAACTTTCGACCAACCAGTAATGTGTGTTCTATCTTTGGAGGGTTCTGTCTGTCTATACAGAGATTTCCAAGACTATTGAAAAATACTATATGAAAAACGTAGAATAATCGAAAGGGCTGGAAAATTTGGTTTGGTTAGACCAGCGACAGCATGCTGTTGAAGAATCGGCGTGTAAGATGGTGGTGGTATTTAATACCGTAGATTATCTGGATTTATCATTATGAGACAATGCATTTTTAATTTTCATTTATCGAATAGATAATGTTCACTGTAGCCGACATGGCGCTGAAAATATTTCATTGTAATTTGTACTTATTTTTACACCGTGTGTTGAAACACGTGCGTCTTTTCTATCATTGTTTCGTGAACGTACTATATTATCGTCGGCCATCGGAATCGTAAACACGTTTTGTTTTGTTTATAACACGGCTTGTAGAATTTATTTATTTCGGCTTGAGATGTCATACACGGTCAATGTTGTACGACGTACGCGCTAGGTTAGAACAAGCTAGGCACGTGTAATTACCGAATCTAATAACACGTTCGTGTATATTCTCATTGATACATTTATTTTTCAAAAGTCTAGCATTATACATGACGCATCGGTGTTTATCAGTCTAGTTCGCGTTATCATCGTTCGATAAGGTTATAAGGGTTCACGTTCAACTAAATCCCATGTATTAGCTAAGAATGTGCTTTTTACCCTTAATCTTTCTCTTTCTAAACGTTATATATTTTTCGCGTTTAATTACATGATTTTTGGTAGATTTTTATTAAATTTTGATTAAATACATAAATTATCTCGTCGAATCGTTGGTATTAGAGTAAATTTAATTCAAAAATTTGGGCTTTCTCCATGGTTTGCCGTCCGATGGTTAATGAAAATATATAGATGGAGCAGTAGTTCGTATCAAAAGGGTCTCTAGTATCAATTATGTCAAAAACGTCGTTTACATTGAATCTTGAGTGATCTTGAAAACTTGACCATACGTAACACCAAACATTATACAAACATACACGTTTCGCGCGCTTCGGTGTGACAGTAGTTCGGTGAGGAAAGATAGCTCGCAGTGCTTTTTCCTGTTCGCGATGAATGTAGTAGAACAAATTCAATATAATCCCGTGTTTTCGTGCTTGGAGAATAATAATTTATTTTGAAAATTGGAAACATACCGGCAGAATTGCGCAACGGCCTTTTTCGCGCGCGGAGGTAGGTAAAATGAAGGTTATGTACATGTGTGTAGATGTAGTGTTTGATAACGAATTCTCGCACCTTGAGTATTTTAAAAAGATCTATGTATCTTAAGCATTATAAATTAAACTTTAAACACGAAATTAATATTTTATTTTACGTTTGAAACGCTGCCAATTATTCCACCCTCTACGGAGATCAAACTGACAATTTTATGCATTGTGAATGTAAGAAATTCCGCGCATGCGCAGTTCGCGTAGATACATAGAAACTGTTATAAGATGAATGAGTAGGTTAGAAAATGAACAATAATTTTTCTTTTTAGTCTCACATGCCAACGGTATTGCATCTACAGTGAACAAGATAAAATAGGTACGTTGGCATGACAAAAGAATTAACCTAAATTCTTGTTTCACGAAATAGAAAATATATACATATTTCTCTTTCAAAAGTCATAACCACTCGTTGCATCATAGAATAATTTTTCCGATACGTCGATATTCATTAGCTGTTGAATAATTCCCACCCGCTTTTATGGGATTAATATTTTGTAACAGCTGCTATCTAATTAATAGACGATGATTCAATTGACATCTATTGAAAAGAACAAATCGATACGTGTGTAGAAGAACCGTCAAACAAATGCGCGGGAAATTTAAATTTAAACTTGTTCAAAATGGAACAAGTTTTAGTTTCGGTCTCGTAATAACTACAACTATGCTTCTATATATAAGTATGACTTAAATATGAAATATTATTCATATAATACCGTTACTTAGAGGCTGATCCACATGAACTAGTTCATCTAATGCAATTAGGATGTAGCTGAAGACGTGATGGTTTCATAAAAGAGTATAATTTAACGATGACAAATCAGTCGTGATATAAATTTAATATAATTTCTCGCCTGAAATCACCTTATGTCGTCTCGGGACATCCTGTATCGGTTAAATAGCCTGTTCAGTCGATTTCGTTCGATGGGGGGTGATCCAGTCTGTCCCCCCACAAAAATGTACGTTCGCCAAGAATTCAGGATCCGCAACCCTTGACATTCACGGTCCTTCTCTCGTGGGGGTCAAAGATCTTCGGAGGAAACGAGAGAACTATGGCGGGCTGAAAGAGAGAGGGGTTGAAACCGACCGAATCAATAGGAACAGCCGTTGCGCCTCGATCGCGATGCTGCTCGAACTTGGGAACGAATCCTATTATGTTGAAAAAAAGATGGAAAGGATGTTGTTACAAGGGTGCTTCAGCCCCTTACGAATGTCTTTTGAAATAATGCGATTGCCTCAGGCTGTAGTACAAACCATATCTCTATGAATAATAAAAGAGGATGTTAATTTTCATAAATTTTTGATGTTCAATTTTCACAGACTTTTATTGAAAAATATGACAAATTACCTGTGAACTTGATATTTTATACAGAAATATTATTTCGCGTTTAATATACATTTAGTTTCTCCTTTGTTCGTGTCTGCCTTCCATAAATGGAATTGTATGAATGTCCACGCGTTCTCTGAGTGTTATTAATCAATTCACTGAATTGTTCATACAATCTGAATTCAATAAATTGACTAGACTTAACTGGGATTAAACGAGCTCTGAAAAATCGTTGATAAACCAATGATAACGTTGTGATCAATTTAGAGCATGAAATAGTAAACAAATTTCTTAAATTAGTTATGGAGATTCATTGATTTTTGTGTATTTGCTCATGGTGTTTCCTGTGACTCCCCATAAGTAGCGTCAATAGTTGACTTGTACTACTTGCCGCGGAAGAATACGTTCCTTTCTTCTACTTAAGTTCTTCCATCGAACAGTATATTACTTTAATTTTAGAATATAATTTACATTTTCGTATTAGGTGGGTTTAGAAACCATATTTAATAAAAATAAGCATTCAAATAAAATGCCACACTAGGTGCGTCATATCAATTTAATCAATGACGCACCATATGCGTCTCCATAAAGAAAATCATATTATCAATCAATACTCAAAAACATGTTAAATGTACAAAAATAAAATAATGGAAATTAATGTTTAATTTAATGTTTAATTAAAAAATTAGTAATCTGTGTTATAATACTCAAAGATGAAAATTCCATTTGTTCAAAATTGTTTTATAATATGATTTTGTATTGAAAGTGTGCATCTAAAATAAAATTAAGCGTCTACACGAGAGATAAAGGTACACATGGAGGTCTAGACGTGAGAAAAATGACATATTTGAAAATTTGAATATGAGTTTAGACCGTGATGAACTTTTGGTATGTGTGTAAGGTTGCTTGTGCATGTGTAGAGATGCTAAGTATAACATTGACAAAGCAGAAGGAATGAGGATGAATATGCGTGAACACACGTGCGTTTAAAGTTGGGCCACATTGCTTGTTACGTAACCGTCGAGTCTCGCTTCACACTTCGCTATCGATTCTCGAATAGTCAGACGAATAAGCACGATGTGCTGGAAACAGTAACAACCTCTTTTTTTTCATTTAAACACGTTCCATCGTAAAACTGATAATAAAGCGGTGGATGATTGTTAGTTTAAGTTCACTCGTTAGTGGTTTTCATGTTAAGAATAGCAATAAACGAATGATAAATAATAACAGTACAGTAGCAACACTTGGATCTATAATAGAATTATTATAATATACTATAATAGAAATAATAAAGAATAATAGAAGAATCCTATGTTTTAACGACAGTTTTGAAAATTTTCAAATACTAAAAATGCCTGTTTACAAGCAATACAGTATTAAATACCGGTACTCGAGCCATTGACACTTTGAGCATCGGTAGTACAAAATATTAAACGCCTTGAGTACCGGTATTCTGGCCAATAAACTTCCCGAGTACCGGTACTCCGACCACCAAATCACTTGGAAGATTACACATTCGCGGTATTTCGAACACAGATCATCAAATACTGGTACTCAATCCACTAAATAATTCGCAGTCGTAACTCCTTCGTAGAATCAACTTACACCTTTTCTTCCGTACAAACAATACCGAATGTAATCACGTAAACGATGACCATGATCATGTTTTCACTGAACACAAACAATCCTGCTGTTCGAGGAATAATTTCGCGATCGTGTATTGATTTTGTTTGAAAAAAAGAAAGCATTATTTTTTCTTCGAAGAGACTGCATTTATGCATCAGCGTGGCACGTGGTTGCAGATCGTAGACCTTCTCGACGTTCCCGCGGATTACGTAACAAGCTTGGGGAGCCACGAGTAATAAAGCGTGGCTTTGCATGCGTTACGTGTGTCTGCTCGAATAGAAGTGTTGGTACATCGCGTGTACAGTTGCGTGTGTTTCGTTGTGTGAAAAGATTTAATACGGTGACTAGCTGGATCGTCTCTTATCGTGACGACTCCGTTTC